CTGTTGCTACATGCGTGCTCAGTGAGAGGGATTTCAGAAAGTCAATGAGTCTTCACAATCATCTGGTTTTCCAGGTTTCCAATATTTTTAAGAATATGATTATGTTAGCTGTATAAATAAATGGAATATTCTCTAATTGCAACTTTTCTCTGTGTGTCTCTCCAGGATGAATTGTATTTTATTGGAGTTTTGTCATAGATTTACACGAAATATTGCAAAATTACGTGGAGAAATGGCTCTACTCTTTAAATTCAAATGCAACTTAAACAGACATTGAGAGATCTAAGTATCTTATTCTCTTGCACAGTCAACTATAAAGTAAAGTAGTGGTGTGATTTCATCATAGTTATGAGATGCTTTCCCTTCGCAGTCATGGAAGCAGGGCAGTGTTCCACATTAATGGTTGATTATGGAAGAAAACTGTGTTAGGATGAGACTGGGGTTCAACTTTAGACCAAGTTTTATACACTTCAGCTATTTTTCAATGAGGCGAAAAATCCATATGTGCAAAGTTTGTACAAAGCTATCTGCATTTGCCACAAAAGTTGGTTCTGCCAATCGGTGAGGACATCATTTTCTCATTACTATTTTGAAACGTGTTCTTTCCTTCCGCTGTACCATTATCAGTTACTTTGTGTTGATGTCGAACAAAGACTAAAATAAAGATCCTTAACGCTTGTCGTAACATGAAATGAATATGAATAAATTATAGTGTTAGAAAAAACAAGTTTGGAATGAAGGCACTGAAAATTTTACAATGGAAACCTGTCCTAACTAAATTCACTGAAATTTCTCCCCTCGTTCAGATTTAATTACTTACCTAGATACCACACCCTAATTCCTCTTCTTGCCTAGACATTGTAGAACTATAGAGGCGTGTCTCCAAATTTGCGAACGTGGCTTAAAATGATTCAACACACGCGCTGGTCTTGTACATACAATTGCAGGTTCGCACAGATCCCCAACTCTCTGACACATTCGGTGTCTTCATGTTCGTACAGGCTGGGTAGAAAATTACTGCACTCGGGAGAAGACAAAGTGATCTTTAATACCTGTTAAAGTAGGATGAGGCAGGGTGGAGTAACGGTAGATATTTGAGTGCCCAGAGGGGCACGGTGTAGCAAACAATGTTTGTATGCTGGTTTTCAGCACAGGTATAGAGGAGGGGCTGCCTCAGGGCTACAACTCATGTGTGAGCAGATATTCAGTACTTAACTAACAACTTTTTTAGAGTTGTTTTTTTGCTTCTTTCAAGGAACTGTTATTGTAATTATTGTATATTTTAGTGGATTGTAATTTGATGGCTGTTTTAGAAATCTGATCAATCAAAAATACTCTTAACCAATGATTTTTGTTGATTTTCTCCTCAAGTTGATTCTCCATTTTGCAGAGTCTTATATTTTCAAAGCACTCTTTTTTGTTGAATTTTTTATTTTTTGCATCAAAACCCAAGACTTTATTGATACTTTTTATTGGTATTTTCTGTCATAGACATACCTTAGATCAAATAATAGGATATCTAATTAAAGCTGCAGGTTATTGCTCTCTGTCAGCTTTAGAAAAATGGAAACTGAAAACAGCTCAAACTTAATTGGATTAGGTGAAAAACATTGTTTTTACAAATTTTAAGTTGTTATTGTTCTGGGGCTTGACTTAGGCCATTCTACTGTAATACTACGAGCTTTGATATGAGCCATTGCATCCAGGCTTTTGGCACGATCTTTAGGGTCACATAAAAAGAGAATCTGCAGATCTCAGATCTTTAGCAGCTTCTCTTAGGGTTTCCTTTTGGTTACTTAAATTAACTAAATTAAAAAAATTTTAGTTAAAACAAATTTGAACTCTTACTTCCTATCCCGACTAAATCATCCCCAAAGCTTGATGTTGACACCACCACCATGTAAAGTACTAACTGCCTATTCAGCTCAATGTGCAGTGGTAGTTTTCCTCCAGTTGTTGGATTTACATGTATTCTGAGTTTTGGTTTTGATCTCCTATAAGCCAGAGTATTATAGAGATTTAAAAAGTTAATACTTAATCACATAAAACACAAAATGTTGTGGTTTTAATTTGGCAAAATGTGGGAAACGAACAAGAAGAATTAATTCTTTTTACAAGCAAATGTACATAGTAGTGAAATAGCAAACATTATCCATACAGAGACACCTTGAGGATTCTTCTTCTGCATGTTAGGGCTGATTTTATGCATCACTGTCTAGAAAATGTAGCAGCCACTCCCAAAACGTTCTCGCCCCTTTGCTCTTCCCTTTTTTTTTAAACTGTAGTTAACTTCTTTTTTTAATGCCTAAGGAATGCTGTGAATAAGGAATGAGTAATCAAATCTTATGTTTGGTCTATGCAGTCAGTGTGGGACTCTTCAACTTTTTAGACTCTAACTGAACACATTTCACTTGAGTTATGGTTTTCTTTATTTATCTAACTGTCATTTACTGTAATAAAATGGCTAAAATCCTATTAGCACCACTTGTTTTATTAGTTTATTATCTCCTGTGATTCATTTTAAATTGTGTTCTCTTGCGCAAGCTGCATAGTGACAGCACAGTCAGGTTACCACACCTCAGCCTCACCCATCACTTTTTTATGTCCGCTTAGTGCAAGAGGAAGGGGCGTGTCCAGGGTCCAATCCGCTGTGTCCTCCACACGCATACGTCACTAAATACACAGTACTTCACTCACAAGGGCAGGCCCAGACTTTGTAGCCCACAGGCACAAGAGAGTGAGAGGAAGAAAGGAAAGAGGGAGAGAAAAAAAACACAGGAAGGAAAAAGAAGGGCAGAGCTGAAACCAATGAGGGAGTGAGGCGGTTAGGAGAGGATAGAAAGACAGAGAAATCATAGGTTTGTGAAACGTTTAGTGGATTCTGGCAACAGGGCTGCACACTCTGGGACAAACCAAAAGAGCCAAGGAGAGAAGCAAGAGTCGCTCAGGTTCCTATCAAGGGGAAACCTGCCCGGGATATTTCATCCTTTGGATTATTATTTCAGTTTTATTTTGTGAGCCCTCAAACGGTCATAATGAACATGCAACAGCAGAAGTACAGGAATTTCTCAACTGACAGTCTGGGGAGAGACAGGATGCCCTCAGATGATGGTTATTACCAAGGGATGCTTAAGGCTACGGACGGGAGGAAAGGTACAAGTAATGTTCTGTATTGCTAGGCTTGATTTTGATATGTAAGAAGATGCTGGGAACAAGTACGGGAAATTTCAGGAACGAAAGACGAGCGTGGTTTATTAAGATTGGCAAACATCTCACAGCAGCTTATTGCCACTTTAAAGACACCCATAGTTTTTATTCAGTGGAAATAAACACACATTCTGTAGAATGACCTTATTTTTAGCCACTAAGGAGGATACCCACTTGTGATGCATCAGCAGCTTCCTGTCTGGTAGTCAAAGCAAAACTTAATATTGATTTCCCTTGTATTACACGCATGTTTAGAAATTAATCACTTTAGCAACACTCTATTTGTCTTCTCTAGAAGCCAAACGCTTGATGAGCTTCATATGCTTCTTTCTTTTTGGGTCCATTTTGATATTCAGAATACTGAAGGAATTCTAAAGAATGTGATAAGCAAACAATTTGCTGGTTTTTCATAGATAAAATAGATTTAAATCTAGAAGACAATTAAACATTTTCAAGATGATCCTAATTTTTGCATGAAAACTTGAGTTGCTGCCTTAATTTGTAAAACTGAAAAAAAAAAAGTTATACAAACTATTGAAGTTGAGTTTATTAATATCACCCAGCAGCCTGATGCAGGGGTCAAGCTGGTTATCCTTCTTCTTTGGGTAAAACCTTTCCCCCTTTACAGGAAGTAGAGTCATGGGGTCACATACGAGGCCCCAGTTTTCCTTGCTTTGAAGATTAAAGGGTGAAGTTCTAAAGAATGAAGAACAATGACTCCAGGAAGATTGAGTCTGATAAAACATGCATATTTATTGTCTGTCAAGTGAAAAAATCTACTGCACCTTGTTGGTGTCAATGTTCTGTTTTTCTAAATCAGTGGTCTCTGATTTCACTGTTGGGCGTATCAGTGAGTCACACCCTGACTGATATGTCTGATTACACTTTGTGTTATTTCAGGTATTCCTTTTAGTATTTTTTTTATAAATTGAATGTCAAATTAGATGTCAATTAGATGTCAAGAGTCTCCTGTCAGTTCCTCGGAATGGCTGGTTTGGGCTGTTGACTGTCATAGTCAATTAAAACTGCTTGGTTAAACCTTTGTTTTAATTGTTCTGTCAGGCAGCCAGAAACAGACTCATTCCCATGATAATCTTTGGAAAAACACACCTTGAGGTGTTTTTGCCCCCCCCCCCCTAAATATCATAACAGTAGGTGATAATGTGTGTGTTTGTTGTGTTAGTGGGTGTGTTCACCACCAAGGTCTTGTTGTTTCTTGTTGAGAAACTGCTCCCTCTAATAGTTTTCATGCCAAATTCCAGCCTTGCCGAGTATCTTTAAACTCATCTGAACAATCGTTTCATCTTCTAGCATGTCATTCCTCAGAATGCAGCTTGTAGTGAAATAATCTTTTTTCTGGACAATGGGGGCTAATCTCCCACCATGAATTCACTGTAATGTATGTATCTTGAGTTAGATGGTGGCATGCACAGAAGTGCTTGAGGGGTTTTTCCACTGAGCAAAGAAATCTGTTTGTCTGACAGGAACCAAACCAGTCTGATGTCTCTGTTATCTGCTTTTGTTTAGTTTTATGGTAAATCTGCAAAACTCTCACCTTAGGATGACTTGCAATACACCTACCACCACCCTATAGGTGCAATGGTGCAAAAAAAATCAGAATTCTCTACCTGCTTCATTAAGATTATGAAGAGATCTAAAGGTTTAGTGAATCAAATAATGCAAGGATTAAAGTGGTTAAAGAGAACATGCAGATTGTATTAATTTAGTGCATACATGCCAAACCAAAGCACCAAGCATGTCTGATCTATAACTCTTGTGTCTTTATTTTCCAGATGAGCGAGATCGAGTACAGAAGAAAACCTTCACAAAATGGGTTAACAAGCATTTGATGAAGGTAAGAACCTATTCCCCTTGTATGAAATGAACACATCTCAAGGTCGACACTCTGGCATACAAATGCATTCAATCAGGTTAATTATAAAAGGCATAAATTGAGCCCTGATAAAAAAACTGACATCATGCTTTTTTTGCTCATTTAGGTAAAATATATAGTCCTGCTTTAGTGTCAAATATAGGTAAACGTTACTAGATGGGTTCCACATTCAATGTTTATCACCTACGGTTGTATATAGAAATGCACTAATCAGAATGTTGTGGATTATTTGTATTTTTTGTCTTGTCCTAGTGTTTTATAGCTTAAAGCTGTCAGTACCAGTTCTATATATAAAGGCTTTTTTAGAAAGATGTTAGAAAAGCATTCAGAATTATAGTTGGTTTATTTATGTAAGATATAGATATAAAACCACACCAGATACCAGAGACGATAGAGTCTGAGATACAGGATTTTATCATAAATTTGGAGCAAAGAATTGTTCCAACCTTACCGAGTACCTTAACACTCATATGAACAATCGTTTGATCTTCTAGGATGTCATTCCTCAGAATGCAGCTTGCAGTGTAGGTTGGAGCAAAGATACATTTGAAGCAAAGAATTGTTTTGGTTTTTTAGTATATTGCATGAGGATTTAGCTCAAAGAGATAAATTAGAGCAGCTTTAATACGTTCAGGTTGCCTGTTATCTGCAGAAGTCTCTCGTTTTAAACACATCTGACTTCATCTCAGATCCTCACTGATAGAGTAAACAGTTGCCCTGATGTCTTCTTCACTTAGCAACCGTTAGCACACAAATGATTGTTGTTGTTACAAAAGCTTGGTAGACATTATGTTTGGTACATTTAATGCTTTATAAAAAAAAAGATAATGTTTCGGGGGTTTCCTGCTGTCTGGTCACTAATCAGGGCTGATGAGTCCATTTCACCATCTATAGTTGTGTTAATGTGAAACAGTCAGTAAATTCTGTATGTGGGTAAATCTTTTTTTATTTGTTTGGTAGGCTTTAGAAATTATGGTTATGCAATATAGATTGTGTGGCTCCTTCCTCTGAAAAGAACTGATCATGAGCTTGAAAGATGTTGCAGCTAATTTGCAGTTTAAAGTCTGATTAAAGGACACTGGAAAGTTACTCTTTTCCATGCAGTTCATCTCTCATCTGTTCATTGCAAACATATCTATGAGAAACGCCACTAACATCCCTCCTTATGTCTGTTTAAATATACACTGACTAGTCAGTCATTCTCTCACACTCAGTCACTACTATATTACAATGATGGCGCGGCTTACCAGGAGTCCTGCCTGTCATCAGCTGAGAAGCTGTGTAAACCTCCCATCAGCATCCGTCCGCTGTCGCCTACATCAATCTATTCTCAGATTATTGTCTGAAAGCCCACCAGGGAATCATTCATTCATGGCAGAGAACAGGTCGGAAGAAGGATCGAGGGAGGCCCTATAAGCCTTACTCTAGAAATCCTCATTAGGCCTGAAACTCGAGCCTTTATTGAACAAAGAACCTCCCTCTGAGCAGTAAAAATATTTCTGTTTGCCACAGAGCTCCCACTGGCAGCAGTATTTTATATTGTATATTCACAGGTATGTGGAGCTAAATGTCTCTACGTTATTTTTAACTCCCAGACATTGGTCCCATTCATTTACTTAAAATGAAACTAAAGGCACATTTTTTCCTTCCATGCTTCCCTGCTTGCATGGTCAGATGTAGGAAAGCATCCTGTCGAGACTAGTTTTTGTTCCTCCTGACTGTTTTCTATGAATGTTGAACGGTGAGTCAAACACATCTGGTCTCAGTTAAGTCCCGCTGTAAAGGCAAATTCTGTTCTCGCCCCAAAGCTCATGGTGATTGAGGCTCACGGGAGCACATGTGCTGCCCAGACTCCTGGGTCTGGGAGTGTACTTTCTATAATACACAGCTTAAAGGGATGGTTGAGGCTTATGGGCATGAAGTTGGGTGAAATGTTCATCGTCTGTAGCTGAGATGCAGCATTGCCCCGACTGTCACCAAGCCTCCTGCTGTGAGAAAAGACCAGTGACGTACCAGAGAATAAGAACTTTTGTAACTTTTCAGAGATGCCGTTAATTGAAAGTTTTTAAACTAGAAAAATCTGTACATTCTGCAATTTTAAAACATCCTGTCACTATTTCAGACCTTGATATCAATTAGAACAATTTTTTTTGGCACCTTTCACTTCACCACATAGGTGCAGAAGACAGTTTGTGTGAACAGATATAAATTAAACAGCTCATCAACACGCCGAATAGTTAAAAGCTGTTTGCAAAAGCAAACTATTAGACCTTTATTAGTATTATTGCACTTTTAATGAGTTTCCATTTAGAATATCTAAGTGGTTGTTATTTTCTTCCAGCTGCCCCACCCTAAACTCATGCTGCACACTGCCAGGCAGCTGGCTGAAATTGAGCACATGTATTTTATCCACACCTACAAAAAAGGCCCATTTGTCTGTCGGAAAATATTTTCCAGTAACATAAAAAACTATAAAGCCATGGAGTGAAAAGGATAAGCCCCAGTCAGTCCTCTTACTATATGATTATTTTAAACTACCATATTAAATAGTTGCTATCTTGTTCTAAATTGAGCAATCAGAGGTTACTCAATGTCTCTGTACTTTCTGTACTTTCTTTGTAAAGAGAATGACATTTTTACCCAGTGTTATCATAGGGTTTTCTCGGAGGTCCTTGTCTTTTTACATTTGTTTAGGTACCTTAGATAAGGCCCACTATACATATATATATATATATATATCATTCAAAGACTGTTCTTAAGCCTCTAAGTTATACTTTGCTTAACTGATACCTTTGATATAGGTCTCCCATATAAAGCAAGCAAAAGATCAATGCTTCACACATTGCCATGTGCAGTAAACAGTGCAAGTTCAAACACAGATGAACATGTTTGAATGTGGCATGGAAAGTGTTAACCTTAAACACCACTTGAGGAATTTAAACTGACTTAATGACTAAATGGTTTGCTTGAAGGGCAACAGCATAGAACCTGCCTGTTCTTTGAAAAGCAGCAATGCCATTGATCATTGTCCCCTGCTCAGTTAACCTCTTCAGTTTACATAAGAAAAGCTGGAATCTCAGCCAAGCAACAGGATGAGAATAATTTTTCTGTCAATGGTATTTTTTCAGGCCCAAAATGTACATAGAAATAATATTAAACAATGGAGGAGTGATAAAGTCAAGGCAAGGGCATTTTATTTGTGCAGCACAGTTCAGTACATGGACAATTCAAAGTCTTTTACATGAATTCAAAAATAAAATAGAAGACAAATAAAAGCGGAAGAAAATCAAAAACATTTGTAAAGCAAATTAATCAATTAGACCACAAAAAAGCAGAACAAAAGAAAGTAAAAAAAAAAAACATGATAAAGAAAGTAAAACAGTTGGATCACAAACCCAAACTAATACCCCAGTTAGCACTTTAACTTCAGTAGTCAAAGGCACCTCTCAAAAAATGGGTTTTTGACCTAAAAGGTGATTTATTAATCTTCCAGCTTTCGGATCAGACCATAAAGAGATACTGATCATATTTTCTAATGATATAGATCTGCAAAGCATTGCAGATGAGCTTGTTCTGACTCAACAGAGATAAACATTCACATATCTTTCAGCACTAAATGTTCAGGTATACATTTACAGTGTTGTAATTAACGGCCGCTGACAGATGGCTCTTCATTCTCTCTACCATTTACAAACCATTTTCCCTGGCAGTACAAGTTATTAAATCAGATGTGGTCTTGTTTTGTTACATTAAAATATAGCTTGATAATCTGCCAGAAAACAGGTCTCCAACAGGCATTACAAAGGTACATATTTCACAGTAGTCTGCCCTGTTAGGTAGATGACTAAATAATTGCGTAAAGAGTGACCTCTAGTGGCTACTTATCATATAGCTTTAGAACTAATCTAAAACTTTCTTTGCATTCCTTCATGTCTCTTCACTAAGGCTCGGAGCTCAGAGGTAGGTGATAGCATGCTGGTATAAGACTTTGTTTCATCAGTGTCTGTCTTGCATGGACAGGCAACACTTCCTCACATGTTTCATATCAAGCTTTCACCCCTGATCCAAGATTAAGTTTCCTAGCAAAGTCACAATTTTTTTTCATTTTCATTGCTGTTGTTGGTACTCTGTCTTGTTACAGTAACACCACAAACTGCCATGTATGATAAATTACCATTGTCCTTTACGTTAAATGCATTCAAAATGCTCATTTTGTTTATATCTTCACATTTTTTATCCTAAAGGTTTAAATTTCTCATTTTATTTAGAAAATCTGTCACTTTTTTAGTGTTTTTTGGCATCTGGAGCTGCAGTCAGGCTTGGCTCCTCCAGGCTATGCATTCCTAACCTGTGTAGAGGTTTGCTTGTTCAAATGTTGCACAAAACGTCTGTTGAAAAGCCTTTCAGTCTTTTCTTTTCTGCAATCCTTCTTGACTTTTGGAGTCAAAAGGGGTTTTAAAATTAAAGTCGTTTGTGATTGTTTGTGTAAAATAAATCACAAGAGCGGCCATTATCCTAAACAACCGAGAGCATAAAAAAGTATTGTTTTATAGTTTATGTATATGATACTTAAGCAGATGTTATGTTATTAAAAAAAAAAGAAAGAATCTAAGAGATTTTTGAAAATTTGCATCCTTCTGAAATACATTACATGCCATAAAAAGGCGACATGACTTGATACTGATAATATTATTGAATATTCATCAGTGGAAATCAGGTGTTTACTTATTGCACCATGTGATACACTCACCTCAGCATGTCAAATGCTTGAAGTGCCACACCTGGTAGGGTAGTCACTCTTCATCACAATAGACACATTTGGTTTAAGCGTACACGGTTACTAATATAAATACTTTACAGATGCAACGGATTCCTCACCTGGCAAGTTAAGCTGTTTTTTATTTGTGTTTGCATATCCTCATGATGTATCCTCTGTCTTCTCCCCCTGGCAGTCACAGCGCCATGTGACAGATCTATATGAAGACCTTCGGGATGGACATAACCTGATCTCACTGTTGGAGGTCCTCTCCGGGGAAACTCTGGTAAGTTTTGTCTTCAGATTGAGACTTTGTGTAAAAGGAAACGTTGCTTGAACTCTGCATTGTTTGCTTGATCCTGACATATTGCATCACAACTCGCCTAACCTGGGGATGAATTAATTCCTTCTAAGAACAAATTAGATCAAATTACCAAATGGTTATGAGAAAGATGCTAAAGCTGAGTTGAATCTGATTACCAGAATGATACATTTTTTCTGTATTTGGTTTTGGATGATTCCAAGTTGTTTTATTTGTATTTTTTGGGTGTTTTTATATCAATTAAATTCATATACAGGCAGTTTGTTTTGAATTTTTTGCTCTTCAGTTCTGTTTAGTTTCTCTGCTACAGCTGCTCTACTTCATCGCTACTAACTTCAGCTCCAGCTCTGTCCATTTTATCGAAAGTCTTTGAAACTGTGACATATTAATAGCGCCACTCTGCTCTGTGTGAAAGTCTGTGAAACGTTCTCCAATATGATCCGCAGTCCTATTCTACTCCACTCTTTCTTCCTCCATTTTTCCTCCCCTTAACCTCTGCTCTGATCTTTGCTGTTTGGCCTTCGTCTGCTTTCCGTCACATTTCACACGCTAGCCGAGGGAGAAAGACATGGTCAGGAGCGTTCGGCTGGTGAGTGGCTTTGGAACTTACAGTTTTCCGTAATGATTCACCTGCTCTCTGTGACTGAGTCGGCTTTGCATGGCATCCATAGAACTCTGGATATCTAAGTTTCCTTTAATGGAAAGCTTCTCAGAATGTAGCTAATGGGGAGAAAAGTAAAGAATTACCTCACGATATCTCATAATTTTCTCACCGATTTTCGATATCTGCTTTTTGTAAATGATAAACCTGTCAGAACAGAATTTAGCAAAGTCTAATTTCACTTGAAGAAGTAGAAAATGAACTTAAAAAAAAAGAAACAATTTTTTTGACATTTTCGTTTTGCTTTTTTTCCTGCTACAGATTAGTAAAGCTGTAAAACAGCTGTCTTCTTTAGTAGAATGTAGAAAATGTTGATTCCTTAATCTCAGGTATAAAACAGGCTGCCAGCATTCACAAAGCAGCTGTGATCTACAGTATGACAGACAGAAAGCTGAAAATGAAGCAGTTTCTGTAATCCATCTTTCCTCCCCCGCTATTATCTGAAAATCTGTCCTTCACAGCCTGAATGAACTACGAACGTATTTCTCAACATTTCCTAGAAGTATTTTTCTTTTAGATATTATCTTCCTTTGCCTTCAGCTTAAAAAAGCTTACAGATCACCAAATAAAGCTTACTTTCAGTTTTCATCCCTCAGGTTCCACAATGAAAAGGATTGTTAATGATTGGTTTCTCTAAACTTGGTGCATTTACTTCTAGCCATTAGGCAGCGCTGGTCAAACTGAAAATGTTGCTGTTCTCTGTGTATTTCTAGAAAATTGAGATATTTATTTAGGATCACAACCCCAAACTAATACCCCAGTTAGCACTTTAACTTCAGTAGTCAAAGGCAGCACTCTATATATATATATATATATATATATATATATATATATATATATATATATATATATATATATATATATATATATATATATATATATTATAAATACATTATAATTCTAAAAGACTGCAGGAAAACCAGGGATTTAATTTTAATTACATTTTCATTCTCATCATCTTTAGTGAAAGTTACCACTGAACCAGGTGGACTGTCCTGGCTTTGTTTGCTCTACAAAGACTCCATTTAATGATTCTTCTTTGTATCGTCTTGATCCTTTCCAGCCCAGAGAGAAAGGACGCATGCGGTTCCACAAACTGCAGAATGTACAGATTGCTCTGGACTTCCTGAAACACCGACAGGTAAGGAGTGCAGTGAGGTGTGCGCTGACACCCGCTATTACCTGAACATCATTAGAATGAGATGGCTCTTGTTTGTTGACAGGTCAAGCTGGTTAACATCCGAAATGACGACATAGCGGACGGAAACCCCAAGCTGACATTGGGGTTAATATGGACCATCATCCTCCACTTCCAGGTCTCCTCCTCTGTCAGTGTTATGTTCCATTTTATTATTACTCTTATCCTCTCTATCTGGGATCTCAGCTGCTGCTTCTCCATCTCCTTGGAACCAATCAGTGGGGACATGGCTCTCTCATCAAGAAAATAATCACTTTCCCTATAGTCTATGAAGTAACAGACTAACTTCACTGAATTTCAACTGTTAAAGGAAACAAAGCACCATTAGAGTTTGCCAGTATGACTCACTCTCGTCTACCTTCCCAAGAGGAGGGTGTGTCCTGTTGAGTATCCAAATTACTGGCTTACCGCTCTTCTAGGCCCAAATATCCAGGCCTTATTGTAACTTTCCCGGTGTTTGCCAGGAGCTGCCAGGCAGAAATCCCTGAGCATCAGCCATAAAGATCTGGTAACATCCCTCCTCTCACTAAAGAGTACAGTTTAGGTTTAGATTTCAAAAACTGAAAGACAAGTATAAGACACGCTGTGACTATTTAGTAATTTTATCAGCTATGTCCTGCAGATACAGTGTCTTTATACTTGTATACAATAGTGAATAACAGGAGGCAGCTGGGATGTGGTTTCTGATGAGTCATTGAAGCTCTGAGGTAAATGGATTAAAACTGAGCTGGGATCAAATAATAATGGAATTATTAAATCCACTCAGCTTATTATTCAAGTCATTAGATACAGAAGAAAAGATGGCAACTTTATTCAGCTGCTTATGCCAAATGTTTATACACAAGCAGTTTAATTTAGGCCACCTTATATGAAGTGTTTGTTTGTAATAATTAATATCTATGAAAGTTTTCCCAAGTTATCCCCCTTTTTAAAAATTCTGGAAGATTTGAAGAGTGGAGTTTGTGACTCACTGCCAGCTGTGAGTCATCTTTTCTTTACCCAAAGTTTCCAAATATGAATTTATCTGGATTCCAGAGACAACGTCACCTTTTAAACTTTCTTTCACATGGCTAAGTATACATCCTGCTCAGTTCTGGAAACAAATAGTTTTTATCTTGAAAAAAGCCTTGAAATAATTTCACTTATCCATAGTAAATCTCATTTTAAAAGATGTGGATAAAATACTATCAGTGTGAAAACATTTATTATGTGTTTCATACACATTGAATGACGCTGATTAAAATTTAAAGCTATATTTTGTTTTTTTTTTAAGTTAAATTATGCAGCCGTATCAAAAAAAGATGAATTTATTTCAGGCTTTTTAGTATTTCATTTATCTCTGGTGTTCGATCATTCCATTTAGTTGGATCATTTGGTTTCCACTAATTACTCTCTTTTTCTCCAAATTTCTTTACACATATTTTCCAAACTTCTCCACCATATTTAGGATTAAAATGATTCTTTTTTTATGTCTGTGGTGTTAGATCTCAGACATTCAGGTCAATGGCCAGTCAGAGGACATGACAGCCAAGGAGAAGCTGCTGCTCTGGTCCCAGAGGATGACAGAAGGCTACCAGGGAATCCGCTGTGACAACTTCTCCACCAGCTGGAGGGACGGCAAACTCTTCAACGCCGTCATACACAGGCACTAGTAAGTCTGCTGAATGATCTTAAGAAAAGAAATCTGGTGCAAGTACAGACAGGACATTTTAAAAGCGACTGCACCAACGTGCTCCCTTTGGTTTTTACCAAATACATGTGCCCTATGGCAATAGAAAACTGAAAAATTGACAGGCTTTTACTGTCACATTTTACTTTAATTTAATACTGAATGCAGTTCAGCAGGGGTGAGTCCTTGGAAGGCTGTCAGATTTCAGATTATCCTTCCTGCTGCCAGTTAAAACATGCCATCTGATTCAATCTCAAGATGGTGGCTACTCCTTAAAAGTTTCTATGTAGCCTATTACTGGGACTTGGTTGTTTTATGATAGTGAGGTCAATGCACCTAAAAAGGCAGATAATAGCAGCCGTATGCATCTTTATCAGGAAATATGTTTTGTACTCATGCTGAAATACAAAAAGCAAGGTGAAAAATATGTGCTGATGTTACTCTACTTGACTCTGTGCATTCTCCTGCTGCCTTATTGAAATATGGGTTTGAGTTTCAAGCCTTTAGGGCTCAGATAATAGCAGAGGATCCTGGTAGTGAGTAATTCTGTGTTGCCTTTGGTTTGTCTGGTTAAGAACAGTGAATTTAGAAGGGATTAAATTGCTGAAAGCCTGGTTTTACTTTAAGTCCCCAGTTTTTTGCCTTAAATAAGTTGAATCACGAATAGATGTTATGTATTTTTTGTCAGACCTGCTGCCGATAGATTTGTGCATAAACATTCTGAGAGATGAATGCATATCATTTTCTCATGAGGATTTTACTGTGAAGAAAACCAGTGGCTGGTTTTAAACCGAAATCTCTGTGCAAACAAGAAAAAAGTAGGATATCATAAGATAAATGAAATCTGCCAAGCTATTATGATTTGAATAGAAAATATACCTGCAGGGGCAGGTTTTGCTGGAGAGTTAAGCAGCCTGCACTTTTTTTTCTGTTATAGAGACTCTGTGTTTCATCTCTGCTACGTTTCATTAAGACCAGGGTGTGGTGTGGGTGTAACTGTGGGACACAATGAAACCTGTACCGCTGATTTGTTCTGCGGCAGACGTCTGTATGGCTGCTGCAGTACTGACGTTTCTCTTGAGTTAATGTCCATGGTTTGATCTTGAATCAAAGTTTTCATAGCTGAAGTGTAACTAAGAGCAGGGACTGAGGACGGACCAATGGGAGGCTACTTTTTCTGACCAATGCTGCAGAAAATTAAGGACATTCAGAAGACAATGGACTCTTGGGACTCTACGGGTTGGATTTTCAAGCGATGATAGAACCTGTAATAATTGTTTTTTTATTGAAGACATGCAACTGCATGTAGAACAGCTTCCCTACAGACCTTGTAACTCTGACTGAGGACCGGCTGCAGATTTTAAAATGCTCACTTTGAAAAAGAGGTCTAAACAGAGGAAGGGGAGCTCAGGCTTTTTCCGCAGTGTGTCAAGATCTCCTACCGACACGAATGATCGGGTGTTCATGTTGTGCGAGGACATCCCATCAGAAGCGTCCTCCTGGGACTCTGGGTGCGGTTCTCATAGCTCAGTGACTCGTTCCATCAGCGAAGAAAGGAGGTCTAATGGAAGATCAACCCGGAGCATGACTGCCTCTTCTAGACCTACCCAAGAGTTTTCTTTTAGAGAAATCCATCATGTGAATCCTGCTTCTGTTTATAAACAAAGTGCTGACTATTCCACACTACGCAACAGAGAGCTGTATGATTTTAATCTGCTTTGGTTATTAATATGTTAGAACCGCATTTGCAATTAAATGTATTATCTTTAGAGGTTTAAAAAAAAGTAAGTATATATCACTGCAATTTATAGCTGTATAATGAATAGGGTGAAGTTATGCGACACGTTCAGTCATCCTTTTCCTCAATCTAGAGGCTTGAACTTTTGTCTCCTGTTAGTCAAGCTGTGGCTGGCCGCTGACTCGAAATGTGTCAGATATAAATATGTGAGCTGCTCAGTAAATTACATTCCACCTAAAGATGCTCTAACATGTGCCAGGAAGAGTCAAACAGCCAGAGGACAAAAAAGGCAGGTGCTCATGTGGGTTTCTCAGAAAAAGAGCAGATGTGCTGCCTGTTTTACAGCATTTTGCCATTGGCACAGAGTCTTCAACAACTCTGCTGCCTGTACTGTACATTTTTAAGTGTATTTAAAGGAGACCAACGAATACCGTGCATTGGTTCTAACATTGCTATATTATGTGACAAAAACCTAAAATCCAATGTTTAGCATCTGCAACATTAACTAGATGCATAATATAGTGTCATTTTCTACAAAATTAACAAATATAATAAATTCAAAGTGGTATTGTGACTCAGTGGCTTTAGGATACCTCCTCTCTGTCTATTCGACTTTTGTTTATCACCTGCTGTTTTTTTTTTGTGTTTACCAGCCCCAGGCTCATTGACATGGGCAAAGTATACCGACAGACCAACCTGGAAAATCTGGAACAGGCCTTCAGTGTGGCAGAAAGAGACCTGGGAGTGACCCGCCTGCTGGACCCTGAAGGTATGGCTTGCCTACAGCAATTTTAACACAAAGAAGACCAGCTCCTGTTGAATGCCATTAAACATGATGCTATTTGAACCTTTCAGATGTTGATGTCCCACATCCTGATGAAAAATCCATCATCACTTATGTTTCATCTCTATATGACGTCATGCCTCGCGTTGATGTCCGCGATGGTGCCAGGGCTAATGTAAGCAGACCACCGAGATTAGCCAAAGCTTTGAAACATACTTTCCATGACACAAAAGTGGAAACTAATGGTCAGATTAATTCTAAAATGAAGACATTTTGTGTCTAACGTTTCCATATCCAACTGAATGTTTTACATTTTGTTTTGTTACAAACTTATCTACTCCAGGTTTTGTTAGAACAATGGGTAGTACATAAAAAAAAGGGTCTTAATGTTCTCTACTGACCTTTATTTTGAAAGTGATCTTAACAGGAAATGGGTTAGAGAGAGGACATGCAGCAAGGGTCCAGAGGTTGGGGCTCAAACCCAGGACCAATGGTGTGCTACATTTACACCAACACCAACAAAACCTTAAGATTTTTGGTGTTTTTCTTTCGGTACTAAGCAGTTTTTACCAACTCTGAGTCTCCCTGTCCGTTTTGGAGAAAAACATTCCCCCAGCTTGTTGCTGCTACTACAAGCCTAAAGTTAGGGGTAATGTGTTCCATGGATCATACAGTTTTCCACCTCACAACGTGTTTTGCATGTAGGCTAGAACCTTCAGTTTTGGTCTCTTATGACCCAAGCACTACCCTTTTTTTCCTGACTATATAGCGTACCTTAAAATAAGCCGTCCCCACAAATGTTTTATTTTTTTTAAACACAAATCAAACAAACATTTTGCCCAAAAAAAAAAAAAAAAGAACGCCATCATAGTCAGCCGTCCTTCACACACGGCTATGTCGAGAGAGCACTGCTGCAGACGGGCTAGGATTAGCTCTGGCTGCGTTTACCCTCGGAGCTCCTCTTGTTGCTGCGGTCCTCTCAACTTCTACGCATTAAATCGTTAAATGGACCACACAGTGATGCTTTAAAGTAAAATGTTCTCACCTCAAGTGGTCTTTAAATGTACTTTTATTGAACAACAGCAATACAAAAGAGAACTTTTATGTTAATATTCTGAGCTCTGTGAGAGCTACATTGAAAGCTGCTGCTGCTGCAGTGCATGCTGGGAAAGCTGTCAATCTCAAGGACAGTCGAGTCTGCTCTGATGCATGCTGGGTAAAGAGGGACGGGCAAGAACAACATCCGGGGACTTTGTCCATTTTTGGTTTGCTGTTCTTGTGAATTGGAACAGTATTAGGGCTGAAGACGTTAACGAGCACATGAGAACACACAAGTACACTTATTGAGAAATGGCTTAAGCCTCTGATATCTACTGAACTGTCTCCACTAAACCTGTAGGGGGCACTCTATATATACTTTAGCCCCTAGAGTAGAATGAAGAAGCATGCTAGCTACCGTTACCTTGTTGCTCGCTGCAGTAAGAGCTCCACTGAAAGATGGTGCTTCATCAGCTCTTTATTTCAGCTCTGCAGGAGTTGAGCCCTGTCTCTTTTTTGGTTCGGCAGCTTTAATGAGGCAAATAAATGTCAAATTGTGTGAATTCAGAACATTTGTGCTCCTTAGTGTCTGCTGCTAGGATGTTCTTGTGCTCAATAAAAATTAGCCCCTTATTCTTTTATTTCCAATTTTAACTTCCCCCTCTAGCGTTTAGGAAAAATCCACAAAAAAGCCACACCTTCTTATAAACTGCATGGTTCAAAGCACAGGGGGAAAAAAATTCTGGCTTATTGTCTGGAAAATACTTTCAATTTTTTAATGGTCCAACAAAATGAGTTTTTTTTTTTTTTTTTTTTTTCATGAAAAAAATTTATTCTCCCATTTGAATTTTTTAAACCCACAGTGTCTCTAGGACTGACATAAAATTTTTGGTTGTTTCTCTGATTAACACCTCTTATGGTCGTAAGTTAAGATTTTCATTTTTTATATTCAGGTAATAGGTTGATGCCTGCCTCAATCTATATTTAGAGTTTGGGATATTATTTTAAACTTTGTTCCTGACAGTTTTTGTGGTTTCATATTGCTGTTTCCTCACTGATGTTGTCTAGGAAACCGTTAAGACCTTTACAGAGCGTCATTTAAGTAATACTCTGAAAGTTAACTACAACGTTCATGTATATTTGCTTAATAATAATCAATAGTTTGGAATCATGCCTTTTATTTTGACATGACATCATATTTTTTTGTAAATCATAAGTTTTGAGGACCTTTAAATGTTGCAGCTTATGCTCTGGTCATCCATGATATGACTTAAACATACATGCAGGATGTGTTTTTTGCCAGAAAAGTTGGTTGAGGTGTAGAAATAATTTTAGTTTCTGCTAGAAATCTGCAGCCTTGAGTCTCTTCCAATTGTTTACCCCTTCACCAGCCTCCTCCTCTAAACACAAGACATAGATTGTTGCCACTAAATGGAATTCAGGGTGGTGTGTTAGCGAACCAAACAAGCCGAATAAGAGCCCTCCTGTTGTTCTCAAACTCTCATGCTCCTTACTGCTGTTCGGCTGCAGGACTTGGAGCTGCGCTGGCAGGAGTACTATGAGCTGGTGACCCTTCTGCTCCAGTGGATCCGCCACCATATCACCATCTTCGAGGAGAGGAAGTTCCCCAGCAGCTATGAAGAGATCGAGGTGAGCCTAAACCTAAAGGTTCTGCTTTTAAGACAGTCTTGAACTGGTTAAGACCCTGTTCAGTTTTTGAGAATGGTCTGAAAAATGTTTTCACTGCCGTCCGCTGTTGGATAAAAGAACATATATTAATGTCTATTGGCTGTGTACAGATAAAGACAGCTTTATTCACAGGTTTCATTCTATAGCAGTTTGGGCAGAACCCTTGTTGAGTAAATACTGCTGTTTTAACTGATCCTGAAAAGATCTATCGCCCTGCCACTCCCTGTCTGCACCACCAAACAAAAGCACCATTTAATGTTAGGAATGTATTTGTTTGCATTATTAAAGCAGTGGATTTTTTTTAGTAGTGTTATGTGTGTGGCACTCTTGGCCTGCCATCAAAGGTTGTGAATTGATGTTATAGGTTTGATTGCATTTACACCAGTCATGAGAACATGTCCTTTCAGGGAAGAGCTCCATGTGATGTCTGATTTACTAAAGGAATTTAGGCCTTTTTAGGCGAATGGTGCATTAATTTAGCAACATTACTGTCAACCCAACTCTTACTGCTTAACAAACAGTGTATTATTTGTTGAGCAAGAATAAGAAAAGTTAATTAATTTTCTGGCAAGTCCGAAAGTTGAACAAAGTATTTAATTTTAAAAAGAAATGCATCAAATTAAACATTAAAAATATGGTGGAATTTCTTAAAAGTAACTTTGCACCACATTTTATAAGTATTTTATGGTCTGCATTGGTAGGATCTTTGATAAAGTAGTGAAAGCACTAGAAAAGCCTAGAGATTTTCTCCATTCTTTTTCTCCCTGCTTCATAAACTAAGTCTAAACTTTTAAGCATATTTGAATCAAATCTAAAATGTCCCTCAGAAAAAAGACCAACTGTCAAAAGAGGAGAAATAAATCTAAGTGGCAAACTGTACACCAAAATTTCCCCCTTTTTGGGATAATAAAGGCATTTTCTGTTCTATTCTATTCTATTGTCTAACATCGACTTCCTTGTGTTTATATTCAGCTTCTTTGGCGTCGGTTCTTAAAGTTCAAGGAGACAGAGCTGCCACCAAAAGAGTCTGAAAAGAGCCGCTCTAAACAAATCTACCAGTCATTTGAGGCAAGTCCATTATCCTTTTTTCCACACCGCTGTGTTCCAAACAAAAATCTCACATGAACACCCAGGGTTACATATCTGTACTTTTCCACAGAGTGCGGTTCATGCTGGCCAGGTTAAGGTACCCCCCGGCTACCATCCCATCGATGTGGAGAAGGAGTGGGGCCGACTTCACGTGTCCATACTTGAGAGAGAACGACTCCTAAGGATTGAGTTTGAGAGGTGACCATTACATTGTTGGATGTAAATTTCATGTCTTTACCAGAGAGAGAAATAAAAAATAAGGGCAGCAGAGAAGTCAGTGTTTAAGTTGACCAGATGATGGGGGCTGATAATTTTAGCGTAGAACAGAAAAAAGGCAAAAATGGTAGAAAGAAAAAGCTGTGCCAGAAGTCGGAATAAAAAATAAAAAAATAAAAATTATTTTCTCTCCTTTAATATTAGTGATCCACATTTCTTTTAATTATGTTTTCAAGTCAAAATTTTTTTTTATATTTTTTCATATTATTAAAATGTCCTTATCTAAATGATCACCACATTGAAAAAAAAATGTTTTGCTTCGAAATTAATTGAAAATAAAAACAATGTGGATATTAGCCTGTCTGATCAGGGGAGCTGTTAGGTGCAGTAGAGAGACATAGTAGGCCTGAATTGATGAGAGTAGATCTTCATTACTGTGATTGGATGTGAAACTCTGGTTAGAGTTAAAGATTTAGATTTAGAAGTTAGATTTTTAAGTTAAGTCTTTCTAAATTAACTTGTTTCCTAAATATTATTGTGTAAATTGAACATTGTCTGCTGGTATCAAATATCTTAATAAAATACCTGCTTGTCTCCAGTTACTGTTAGGTTGTTGCAACTTATTAAGAAATAGATTTATTTCAGTCTGATCAAACAGTTGAGCTAAAGGTAGCTGATAAGCATGAATAGTTGGCTTCAATGTGACCTCATGATTTCCCAGCCTGATGATTAAGGCTGTGTTGAACTGCTCTTACATGTATTGCATTGCTATCCAGATTGGAGAGGCTGCAGAGGATTTTCAGTAAAGTCCAGATGGAGTCCGGGATGTGTGACGATCACCTCAATCATCTGGATAGCCTGCTGCAGAAGGTTTGTGTGTGTGCTTTGTTTTGCCTTTCCAACTAAGATCTTAACCCTTGGGGGGAAAAAAAAGCATTGCTTGACCACATGACAGTCAGATCATGCTTTAGCCATTTCCCCGTTTGCAAAACATTTCAAATATCTGATTCATTGCTTAGAAACTACAAAGTAGGAGACAACAGAATATGGACAATGTTTATAGAAACAAGGTTGTATCCCTCACTGCAGCAAACTTTTGTTTGTGTAAAACAACTATTTTAATTGGTTTGAAGAGCTGGAACCTCATATTTTTGATGGCTGTCTTCCTCTCAGGACATCGCTCTGCTGAATGCAGGGAAACCAGCTCAGCACACAGCAGAGGTGGACCGTGAGCTGGACAAGGCAGAAAACACGATCCGCCTGCTTTTTAATGATGTTCAGATGCTCAAGGATGGGCGCCACCCGCAGGCAGAACAGATGTATCGCAGGTAAGTTCTACCGCTTCCATAAAAAAAAAAAAAAAAAACTGTAAGTGAAGCCAGATAGGCCACAGTTCACTAACAGCTAAAAAATCTTTTCATATCCTCAGAGTTTACCGTCTTCATGAGCGTCTGGTGAACTTGCGCAGCGATTACAACCTTCGTCTGAAGGCTTCCACTGTCCAGGCCCCCATAACACAGACGCAGCAACAGACCAGTATGAAGGTGCGGCCAGAGATAGATGATGTTACGCTGCGTTATGTCCAAGACCTTCTGGCCTGGGTGGAAGAGAACCAGCGGCGCATTGATAAAGCCGAGTGGGGATCAGATCTGCCTTCTGTGGAGTCCCAGCTGGGCAGCCACAGGGGTCTGCATCAGACTGTGGAGGACTTCAAATCCAAGATTGAACGTGCCAAATCTGACGAGGTCTGATTCTGAACCTGCAGATAATAATATTCCCACTGTACAGCATGCATTCATATCTCCAGCCTCTCATTTAAAACGGTAACATTTTCTCCACTACAGAGCCAGTTATCACCTATCAGCAAGGGGACGTACCGAGAATACCTGGGTAAACTGGACCTGCAGTATGGCAAACTGCTGGTAAATAACTTATTTTAAACATTCCCTATAATACATTTGGATTTATTTCTAAATGTATTCAAAATCAACATTATGTTTCAGAACTCCTCTAAATCCCGACTGAGGAACTTGGAGTTGCTGCACGGCTTTGTTACCGCGGCGACCAAAGAGCTGATGTGGCTGAACGACAAAGAAGAGGAGGAGGTCAACTATGACTGGAGTGACAGGAACACCAACATGACAGTGAAGAAAGAAAATTACTCTGTAGGTTCATAACTTCTTTCAGCCTCATGGATTTACAGACAGAAACCTTTACCAACTCATTCATTCATCTTACTCTGTCCTTTTGTACTTTCTAGGGCCTCATGCGAGAGTTGGAGCTAAGAGAGAAGAAGGTTAATGACATCCAGGCTATGGGAGACAAACTTGTCAGAGATGGACATCCTGGGAAGAAAACCGTTGAGGTGCTTACAAAGGATACAACCTAAATAAAGCATTTGTAGAAAGAACTGTGTTCCATACCAACCAGGTGTCTTCTTGGTCTCTCCAGGCCTTCACAGCTGCTCTGCAGACTCAGTGGAGCTGGATCCTGCAGTTGTGCTGCTGCATAGAAGCTCACCTTAAAGAAAACACAGCTTATTACCAGGTGGGAACTACATTTGTTAAGGTTTACTTTCTTATATCTAGAAGCTACGCTTCATAACTCTGACCAATTTGCGTCTTCTTCTGTTGTAGTTCTTTGCTGATGTAAAAGAAGCTCAGGAGAAGATGAAGAAGATGCAAGATAGCATGAAAAAGAAATACAATTGCGACCGCTCTACCACTGCCACACGCCTGGAGGATCTCCTGCAGGATGCTGTGGTGGGTTTGATGTTAATATTTAATCACCATTATGCATATTTGATATTTGTTCGAGAACTTTGAGAGAAAATATACCCACAGCCAAACAATATGGGAGATATTGGCTTGATTATCATTTTTTCCCTCTAAATAGGAGGAAAAGGAACATCTAAATGAAATGAATACTTTGCTCACTGGACTGAACAAGAGGTCTAAGTCTATCGTCCAGCTAAAACCTCGCAATCCCACCACACCCATCAAAGGCAAGCTGCCCATCCAGGCTGTCTGCGACTTCAAGCAACAAGAGGTGAGATAATTGAATTAAAATAAGAGCTTTGGATTCATCAGTATTACTGAGATAGCTCCTAAATATGCATCACATGCTTCAGATCACAGTCCATAAAGGAGAGGAGTGTGCTCTACTCAACAACTCCCAGCCCTTCAAGTGGAAGGTCTTAAATCGCTCTGGAAATGAAGCAGTGGTTCCCTCAGTCTGCTTCCTTGTTCCTCCAGTCAACAAGGAGGCAGTGGACAGTGTATCAAGGTAAAAATAACAAAAAAACAGAGTTAAAAAGTTTAATTTCTGCCCTTCATACATTTAACCTTATTTTTTGATGTCTTCCCTGCTTTAGTCTGAATTCAAATCTTCAGCAGATGTCCTCCATGTGGCAAATACTTCACATTAACATGAAGAGTCTGCTGTCATGGCAGTACCTGACCAGAGATTTTACACAGATCCGCTCCTGGAACACCAGCATGGTTGGTTTTAACCTTTTAAAGATTTACAGATAAACAAAAACAACGTCTTCCAGCCTAATTTAGATGTTAGATTAGTATTTGATTTCCCACTATTTTGTTATGTATGTTTATAGCAAGAGATGATCGAATTAAGCGCAGAATATTTTACAGACTTATGGGTTTTGGGTTCGGCTCTGATTCTGGCACTGTAATTAGGAATGCTAATATCATATCTTCTTAATATCAGTTATTTAGCAGTACATTATATCAGACTTTATTTTTTTAAACTGTGTAAAACACTGGGAGAGCTAATTTCCCATTAACCTGAACAAGCATTTGCAGCATAAAATTAATTCAGAGCTATACATTTTTCTGAGGTTTCATGCCACTCCCTGATGGCATGTCACCCAGGGCATTGAACCATGCCGTCAATATAATTCTTCTCTTCTGTCTGCAGTTAAAGACCATGAAACCAGAGGAGTACCGGCTGGTCATGAGAAACCTGGAGGGCCACTATCAAGACTTCTTGCGCGACAGCCAGGACTCTCAGCTCTTCAGCCCTGCTGACCGTATGCAGGTGGAGGAGGACTACAACAAAGTTAGCCAGCATTTTGACAACCTGCTTCGCTCCATGGAGAAAGGTAAAACTAGGTCTAAACACAAAATGGGTTTTGTTTAAAAAGATGACATCATGGAACCAGATAATGAACAGAAGGTGTAAACACCTCTACAATAAAATTGTCAATTATCCTTCCAGGAGAATTTCAGGTTGTTAAACTCAAAGGTGAGTGGCTTTAAGACAGTGGAAGCTACCTCACAGCGGGCTGATTTCAATGCTTTCCAGCTTTGGATGAATGATCAAACACAAACTTTAGTGTGTAGATTAGTGTCGTGTTTGATAGCATGTTGTTTTGGCTCCCAAGCTGCTTTAACATCGGCTCCACAACAGCTGCATTTCATAGCTGTATTGAGTTAAAATCCTGAAGGAAAAAGTATTCATACCTTTTATTTATTTTAGTATTTTGTTACATCGTTAGTAAAAATGTTTATGATATTTTTTATTGACAAAAACATCCAAAAGTGCATTGCATGTGTATTTAACCCACTGATCTCTATTTATTCACTGGATTGTTGGTTGGCCCAAAAAAACTGAAGTCACCTGCCGCCATCTTGGTACTCCCTACTCTCACGGAGTCACGTCATAAAAATGCCTGTAATGTAATGTCATTACCATAATCTAATCAATGCGTGTATATTACATGTACATCATCAATTTAGCACTTTTGGCACATCTCTATTGTTATACTCAATTAACAAACTAATTTTGCTGTGATGGATTTGTATAATATATTATATTACATAGTTTATAGACATCATGAACTTCATACTGACTATGCAATGTGATACACCTATTTTTAACCATAAATCACAGTAATCTACTGATGCTATGAAACTGCAAGTATGTGTCCAAGTGATGAATTTATCTTTTTTTTTTTTAAGATTTAAGCACACCTGAAAATGAGAACATCATTGTTGTTCAATGCTATAGCGCACATATTGTTTACATTCCAACCGGTCTAACTAGGCAGTACCAATATAGTGGATGATGACTTCACAGCACCATGTACTACCAAAGGCCTATCAGCAATCCAGTGAATAAATAGAGAGCAGTGATTTCCCCCCTTTTGTTCTGATACATTGAAGTAAATCCAGTGTGACCATTAAAGCTAAACAGTATGCAAAAGTCTCTTTGAAGGAAAACCCGAAACACAGCACACCCACCGTAAAATATGGTGGCGGCAGCATCATGCTTTGGGATTGTTTTCTTTAACAAGTTGGCAATGTGGAGTCAAACACATAACAGGAGAAGAAAACTTGTTCAAGGTTGCAAAAGATTGAAATTCTGTATTTTTCCTCTTAGCTGAAGATTTAATTAAAACTACGCAGAACTACAACCGTCTGATTTATATATCTAAGAAAAGAAAACCATTCACATGTTTAATTCTACCTCTTAAGATAATATTTTGCTTCGTTTTTATTAATAACAAATTGTCCAAATGAAATACATTGAGGTGTCTTGCAAAAAAAAAAGAAGGGTATGAATATCTCACTTTTCTAGGACACTATATGTACTGTTTTTGATACATGCAACGTAGGGTGTGATATTGAAAAGTGTGTTTCTGAAACATAACACACAGAAAACTGCATGAATTATTTGTTTATTTGTTAAATGTAGAAGAATGAAAGGATGGTTTGCCAAGAAAAGAAGAATCTGTTTAAAAATTATCATACATTTTCGATGCAGGTCAACAGGATGAGACTCTGTGCAAGAACTACATTTCTGAGATCAAGGATCTCCGCCTGCGTATAGAGGACTGTGAGTCACAGACTGTGGCTCGCATCCGCAAACCGCTGGATAAAGACCCTCTGAAGGACTGCAGCCAGAAACGAAAAGACCAGCAGGTAAAACTACATGGAAAAATTTCAAGTTGCAGATATTCCAATAAAATAGGGAGGAATAACAGCTGATGAATCAATAATGGGTGCAGGAAAATGTCAAATGGCAGAGATAAGGTTTACCTTTGCAGACCCATACGAGCTAAAATCCTGCAAAGGTGTAACATAAAGGGAGGAGGGAAACGAGGATTAGGAATGATTCGGTTTGGTTTTAATGAAATCCATTTGGGGTTTCCAGTTATGGGGCCTCTAGCTACCTTTCCACCGCAGATGTACCTGCCCCTCCTCACACATAATTATTCATAACCAAGCTGTGCTTCTGGTTAACGCTAAGCACCAAATCTCAGAACTGATTGATTTAACCTTCCCTACAGTTAATTTTGGTAAATTTGTTCCAGTTTTTTTCCCTTATATGTTTCACATTGTTTCCTTTGGTCCACAGAAAGTCCAAGGAGAACTTGAGGGACTTAAGAAGGACCTGGATAAGGTGTCTGTGAAAACACAGCAGGTGTTGGCTTCTCCTCAGCAGCCTGCCTCCGCGCCAGTGCTGCGCTCAGAACTGGATGTTACTGTGCAGAAGATGGACCATGTCCACATGCTCTCTTCTGTTTACCTAGAGAAGTATGTTTGTTTACTTCATAAGCTTTACTTATGAAAAGCTGATCCAAAGTGCACATTTTATGAACTTGAATGTAGTTTATATGTAGTGTAGCCTGTGAAAAACGTAAATGTTTTGAACAGGTCCTTTTCAGGAAGTAGTTCATTTATAACTAGGGATGGGGATCGAAACCCGGTTCCATCAAGGACCCGGTTCCACTTTTTTCAAAACCCAAAAATCAATAACGTTTGGGCTTATCGATACCACTATCGAGTCTGGTCGTTTTTTTTTTTTTCTCCCGGAGGTCCTGTAACATAATTGTGTGTCCCTCAAGTCGCGTCACAGCATTTAAATCTAATCAATCCGATCACTGCAGCATGTCCACCAATGTTTTGGAATGAAATTGTAAGCAAACAGATATTAAAAGTAAAACAAGTGAAGTCTGGCACTTAACTTTGCTCGCGACTCGAGAATGGCTGAACGGAAAAGACTCCTCCTCCCCGCCGCACCACAGTCGGGCCCGTCTACATCATCCACTCAGAGTACCACTGGTCAGCGCGCACACAGACTTTGTAGCTTGACCGGTCAGTTAAAAAATAGTAATTGTGAAATCCGTGTTGTAACCGGCAGCATAGAAGCTAGTTAGCTTGAAAAGTAAATAAAGTTTCAGACGTGCTGCGTGATGATGTGTTCAGATTGGCTCAGTAAAACGACAATTAGGTTATCATGATGCGTTCAAGTGTAACGTAAAGAAAACGGGAAATTTTGTTTTTGGCGAGAAACATGAGTAATACAGTTGTATATTGCTCTATATATAATTAAACTACTGATGCCAACATTTATTAAAAGTTACATTTAATTTAAAATACAATTATTTATTTGTTAAATATTTTCCTAATCACTAAAAACATGATGAAAAGTGACAGTAGACTATACATTAACCAACAATTGTGAAAATATATTCTAGTTAGTTTTATGTCATTTCGAAGTGGCCTATTACATTAGCCATGTTTATTGAAGGCTAGAAACGTTTTGGTTATGCTCACTTGTTAAGCAATAAAAGCAATACCAGTTCTGTTAAAAACATTTTGTTGCATCGTCTTTCCACCAAATAACAGAAAAGTATCGATAGTGGTATCGATAAAGACTCGGATCGATAAGGAGTATCGATAAAGGTATCGATATCAATAAATATTAACGCATCCCTATTTATAACGGCATTTATAATGTCTTCTGTTCTTTAAATTTTGCATTTTTTCAGGCTGAAGACTATAGACATGGTCATCCGTAACACTCAGGGAGCTGAGGGGGTCCTGAAACAGTATGAGGACTGTTTGCGTGAGGTCCATGCTGTACCCAGTGACATCAAGGAAGTAGAGACTCAAAGATCAAAGCTTAAGGTAAGGGGATGCTTTTTTTTTAATAAAAAAAATGAATACAAGGTTTTTATATGGTCCTGGACAGTGTGAAAAGTAGTGAGATATTACTTTCTAAATTAAAAAAAATCAGTAGATAAGAGAAAATCTATGAAAAATAATTGAGTTTCTTTTTTTATTTCTTTTTTAACCTAAAATCTTAACGGAAGTTGGATTTCAAATTAGTAAAAGATTGTTGCATTTGATTGTTATTGACTTGAACATCGGAAATGAAGCTTTTGTTTAAGTCACTGATTATTTTGCTTGTTGACGACAGAAGAACCAACGGAACAAACTGTTTGAAAAGTCCAAATTGTGCTGCCATTTTACAGTCATTTGGCTTTTTAACTCTCATATTTGCAGTTCATGGCAGTAAAACAACCTGTCCTCAACTTTGTAACAGGTGTAAACCTTTAGCCTCCTAAAAGCCATTGTGGTATTAAATGATTTGTGCTCAAGCTTTGTACAATTTACAGTAGCAGACACCGCCCAAACAATCTAAGAATCACAGTTTAAAAGACAATTGAACCTAAAAAAAAAAAAAGTATAATATATTTGAAAAAGTCAGAAACTTTGTAAGAGGAGATTATGTGATCTAAAGTACAATTTTGATTATGAATTGTGAAGTTTTAATTGCATGGATTGATTTTCAGAAAATGCGAGCTGAGGCTGAGAGTGAGCAGCCGGTGTTCGACTCGTTGGAGGAGGAGCTGAAGAAAGCCTCCACCGTCAGTGACAAGATGTGCCGTGTGCACACTGAGCGAGATATTGAGCTGGACCACTATCGCCAGCTGACCACCAGTCTCGAGGACCGCTGGAAAGCCGTGTTCACCCAGATTGACCTTCGCCAGAGAGAGCTGGAGCAGCTCGGCCGACAGCTCGGCTACTACCGTGAGAGCTACGACTGGCTCATCCGCTGGATAGCCGATGCCAAGCAAAGGCAGGAGAAAATCCAAGCTATGCCCATCACAGACAGTAAAACTCTGAAAGATCACCTGTCACAGGAGAAGGTAACTTGAAAAGTTTTGTACAGCAACAACCTTATTTCCTTGTCTGCGTAAGAGATTATTATGCCTAACTTTTGAATTAATCTTCTTTTAAACAGAAACTGCTGGAGGAGATTGAACAGAATCAAGGAAAAGTTGATGAGTGTCAAAAGTATGCCAAAGCATACATTGATACAATCAAGGTGAGCGTCAGAGAGATAATGGAAGCATAATCGTGGGGCTTGAAATGATTATAACTCATTTTTTTATACTAACAGGACTATGAGCTGCAGTTGGTCGCCTACAGAGCTCAGGTGGAGCCTCTCGCTTCTCCTCTGAAGAAGGCTAAACTCGATTCTGCCTCTGACAACATCATTCAGGAGGTATGTTTCTCAAACCAAAGCTATATGTTGTGTAAATGACAAAGCATTAGAGATAGAAAGAGACCAAGTCAATGTTCTTCAACAGTCAACGTAATACAGTTTTTTAACTATCCTAAATAACTTTATCAGCCCAGTTATTGAAAATAGTGTTACATTTGTGGCATCCTTCATTATTATGAATATAGATTATGGCCTCAACTAAGACTTTCAAATGATTGTCATCATTAAAAATATCAAAATATTCCAAAAAAAAGGCAAAAGATTTTACTTTTACTGCATCTTAACCTTCTTGTTATCTTTTCAAACCTTGGCTCTCACTACCTGGAATGTGCCACTATCATATTTTGAAAGTCTTTCGTTTTTTTTATTTCTTATTTATAGCTAAGTTCACTTTAAGCCATCCCCAATTATGTTGCATTTAATGTTTGGAAAAAGTTTTTGAGTTTTTAGATCAGTTTACTGAATCTTAACAGAATATTAATTGGTTTGCTGAAGTTTATCTGCTTCCTTGTGTTCTTTGTTTCTTCCACATTAGTATGTAACTCTAAAGACTAAGTACAGCGAGCTGATGACTCTTACAAATCAATACATCAAGTTCATCATCGACATGCAGCAACGTTTGGAGGACGAGGAGGTACGTGGCAACTGGCTGAGGATCCCAAACAAACTAAACTCTAACACTAACCACGAAAACAACCTCACCAAGCAAATATTCACTACACCAGAAAACACACGGCACGGATTTTCTACTTATCACCAAAATACACACAGACACCCCAACACACCCATACGCACAGACACACCCCCATACAGACAGACTGATTCCCAGTTTTGCTGTTCTCTTCACCCACTAACATTTAATGTTTGGGAAACAAATTCCTTTTCACTGGTTATGCATGAAAAAATGGCATCCTGTAGCTTTTCTGTTAGCAAGAATGGTAATGATTTTGAAAGATGTTATATTAATATTCTTAAAAATAAAAAAGGACCTCAATTTATGTTTTCCATCAAATGCAAGGGATGTGTTTTGAGTGTGTTTATTCCTAAATAAATAATGCATCAAATAACAGGAATGTTCACCAATACTGAGCGGCCTCTGATTTTCTGTATTTTTCAATATCCTGAGTCACAGTTTTTAAAACTTCTTTTTAAGACTCCATGTCGCATACTTTTGCATATATGAAGGACGCCCTTTATTTGTAAAATTTACTTCTGAAATGATCTAGCAAAAACATGTTTCTCTAAGTTTCATACTCTCTCAAGAAGCCTGAAGAAACACTGCTTTACAAAACATCTGCTGACTTGGAAGCTAACTGTAAAGAAAAACAGGGGTGACTCATTATTATTTTACTATAGGTTATCTAAAGTCTTCACCAAAAGTTCTCAATGTCTAAATTACATTGAGTGAATCCAGCACATTTCATACAGACACATACATGCATATTAATTTCCATTCATTTTCTATTTATTTCTGTGTTCTATTTCTATTTTTTGGCGGATTTTAAATGAGGAGTGCTTTCTTTCACTTGTTTTGGTTCCTGCTCACCTCTCGTTTTCTCTCCTATGAGTCACTTTTTGTTTAAATTGGCTAAATTTAAGTTCCAGTCTTTTCCCCACCTCTGTTATTCTCATATTAACACCATTAAAAAACACACACATTCTTTTCTAACCCAATGTTTTGTTTGTGTCATTGCTTCCGTTAACTGCTTGCCAGTGCTTTACCATGTTTGAGCATTTAAGAGGTAAACTTGTTGCTGTCTCAGGTACTTATCTAATATATATACCTTATTCCTTCCATTTATGTCGTATTTTGGCTTTTTACTGCATGTTTTTTTATATATCAATTTTTTTTTTTAACCAGAGATGCACTGATCAAAATATTATTTTGCTGTTGAAATTTGAATTTTTTTGTATTGTTATAAAACGCAAACAAATTGATCACAAAATTAACATTTGAACCTTTCTTTTGCTTCTTAGTTACTGGTAATTAACATAGGTAGTGTAGCTAGCACAATTAAAACGGCAGCATGTCTTCTAGGGAATGCAACTCCGTATCTTTAGGATTTCCAAAAGGCTGCCGGTGATTTAAAATCATGAAGTATTCCTTATCTGAAGTTAGAAGAGTTCTCTAACTAAAGCTCTAAAGGGTAAAACCAAGTAATTTGGGTGTATAGTGTTTTGCTTTTTTTATCTGTTAAAAGTTCTACCCTCCCCCATTTCTTCCCTAGCTATATAAATGAGCTGCAGACATTTCTCAAAGGGCCTTAAATATGCTGTTGGGTTTTTCAAACAGCCTTTAACACATTTAAGTTTTCTCTCTCTTTGAAATATATCAGTAGTACTAAACTATTTAAGTTCACAGTTAGAAAGAGATTGTATTTTTTTTTTCCAGCTAGTTTTTCAGTGCATCTCTAGTTTTGGTGGAAGTCTTACAAGTTCAACACCTTGTCTTTGATATCCATTCTAACAGCCTTTGTAAAGGGTTCAGCTTTTAATACCAATCCCTCTGAAACATATTCCAGTGTTTTCACAAAACTTGTCTCAACTAACATGAATGTTTCATCTTTGACTTTGCTTAACCCTTTACCTCCACTAAGTCACAACAGTGATTTAAAGAACTCCCAGTGCATGTGTTCGAAGTGTAGATATGACTTTGATAAAAAGCTTGTAGGGATAAGGAGTTTTAGGAAGTTGGCTAAATGCTTTACACACACATACAAATACATAAACATGCTGGTATGAAACTGAAAGCAATCAGTTGATTGATATCATCAGTTACCATTTTGAAATACTGTGGATTATTTGTATCCTGGTTCAAAAATCAGCTCCCTCGTCATTTCCGAAAGAGAATGCTACAGCTACATTTGCATGCCATGATTTTCTTGCTGTGTTGTGAAGTGATATTTTGTTCCCTTACATTAATTTAATCATTCACGTTCCTCTGTTTGCTCTGATTTGTCTTGTCATGATTGATTTTTGATTGCATCGTGAATTTAACATCACTATAATGAATGTGCATCTAATTTGCATCTAGTAATTGAACTCTTTCTTGAGCTAATTTTAACCTTAACACTGCCTAGGTAATACATCACATTTACTTGCTCTTAAACAGTGAGTTAAGGCTGTCATAGAAACAGTTTTAATAATTGTATTCCACACTGTTTTGAGCTGGTCAATGTTAGGTATTACCTTTAACCTATCATGCTTGATTATAATCCTTTCTTTACCATTTTGCTTCCACTAATGCAGAAAGCTGCACAGAAACTCAAAGCAGAAGAGCAAAAAAAGATGGCGGAGATGCAGGCTGAGTTAGACAAACAGAAGCAGTTAGCTGAAACTCAAGCAAAGGCCGTTGCTAACGCTGAGAAAGAGGCCCGTGAGCTGAAGCTGAAAATGCAGGAAGAAGTAAACAGGAGAGAAGTTGCTGCTGTAGATGCGGAAAACCAAAAGCAAAACATCCAGCTGGAGCTAAGTGAGCTTAAAAACCTCTCAGAGCAACAAATCAAAGACAAAAGCCAGCAAGTGGATGAAGCTCTTCAAAGTAGACTCAAGATTGAAGAGGAAATCCGTCTTATAAGACTTCAGCTTGAGACAACCGTAAATCAAAAGGCTACCGCAGAATCTGAGGTCAAGCAACTTCGCGATAGAGCTGAGGAAGCAGAAAAACTCAGAAAGGCTGCCCAGGAGGAGGCCGAAAAGCTCCGTAAACAGGTCAGCGAGGAGACACAGAAAAAGCGCATGGCCGAGGAGGAACTTAAGCGCAAATCTGAGGCAGAGAAGGAAGCAGCGAAACAAAAACAAAAAGCCCTTGAAGACCTTGAAAACCTCAGAAGGCAGGCTGAAGAAGCTGAGAGACAAGTCAAGCAAGCAGAGGTTGAAAAAGAAAAACAAATCAAAGTAGCTCATGAGGCAGCCCAGAAGAGCGCTTCTGCTGAACTCCAGAGCAAACACATGTCATTTGCAGAAAAGACCTCCAAATTGGAGGAATCACTCAAGCAAGAGCACGGCGCCGTGCTTCAGCTGCAACAAGAAGCAAATCGTCTCAAGAAACAACAAGAGGATGCAGAAAACGCCAGAGAAGAGGCTGAAAAAGAACTTGAAAAATGGAGACAGAAAGCCAATGAAGCCCTTCGTCTAAGACTCCAAGCTGAAGAAGAAGCACACAAAAAGACTGTAGCCCAAGAAGAAGCCGAAAAACAAAAGGAGGATGCAGAACGGGAGGCAAAGAAGAGAGCCAAAGCGGAAGAGTCAGCTCTGAAGCAGAAGGAAATGGCAGAGCAAGAACTTGAGAGGCAGAGGAAGGTAGCTGAGAGCACAGCTCAGCAGAAGCTCACAGCAGAACAGGAGCTCATTCGACTGAGGGCAGATTTTGACAATGCAGAGCAACAGAGATCCTTGCTTGAAGATGAACTCTATCGTCTGAAAAATGAAGTCATTGCTGCACAGCAACAAAGAAAAGAACTAGAAGATGAACTGGCCAAAGTGAGGAGCGAGATGGATTTACTTATTCAGTTGAAGTCTAAGGCGGAAAAGGAGTCTATGTCCAACACAGAGAAAAGTAAACAACTTCTTGAAGCAGAAGCCTCCAAGATGAAGGACCTGGCTGATGAAGCAAGTCGACTCAGAGCCATTGCAGAGGAAGCCAAGCATCAGCGGCAAATTGCAGAGGAAGAAGCAGCTCGGCAGAGAGCGGAGTCTGAGCGGATTCTCAAAGAGAAGCTTGCTGCGATCAGTGAAGCAACCCGCCTTAAAACAGAGGCTGAGATTGCGTTGAAAGAGAAGGAGGCAGAAAACGAGAGGCTCAGGCGCCAAGCTGAGGATGAGGCTTACCAGAGGAAATCCCTCGAGGACCAGGCAAACCAGCACAAGCAAGACATAGAAGAAAAGATAGTCCAGCTTAAAAAGTCATCGGAGGTTGAAATGGACAGACAACGAGCATTAGTGGATGACACGCTCAAGCAGAAGCGGATTGTTGAAGAAGAAATCCGAATTCTTAAGCTTAACTTTGAAAAGGCTTCATCTGGAAAACTCGATCTTGAGCTAGAACTTAACAAGCTGAAAAACATTGCAGAAGAAACTCAACAAAGCAAGCTTAGAGCTGAAGAGGAGGCTGAGAAGCTGAGGAAGCTTGCCCTGGAGGAAGAGAAGAGGAGAAGAGAAGCAGAAGAAAAGGTCAAGAAGATTGCCGCTGCGGAAGAAGAGGCGGCCAGACAACGCAAGGCAGCCCAAGATGAGCTTGAACGTCTGAAAAAGAAAGCAGAAGAAGCCAGAAAGCAGAAAGATGAAGCTGATAAAGAAGCTGAGAAACAGATTGTTGAAGCCCAACAAGCTGCCCTCAAATGCAGTGCAGCAGAGCAGCAAGTGCAAAGCGTCCTTGCTCAACAGAAAGAGGACAGCTTAATGCAGAAGAAGCTTAAGGAAGAGTATGAGAAAGCCAAGAAGCTTGCTAAAGAGGCAGAGGCGGCTAAGGAAAAGGCAGAAAGAGAAGCAGCTCTTCTTCGTCAACAAGCAGAGGAGGCAGAAAGACAAAAGGCTGCTGCTGAGCAGGAAGCCATCATCCAAGCCCAAGCTCAGGAAGATGCTGAGAGGTTGAGGAAGGAGGCTGAATTTGAAGCTGCTAAGCGAGCACAGGCAGAGGCTGCAGCTCTCAAGCAGAAACAACAAGCCGATGCTGAAATGGCAAAGCACAAAAAGCTGGCTGAGCAAACACTTAAACAGAAGTTTCAAGTGGAACAAGAGCTGACAAGGGTTAAACTTCAGCTTGATGAAACGGATAAACAGAAGTCTGTCCTGGATGATGAGCTCCAGCGCCTTAAGGATGAAGTTGATGATGCTGTCAAGCAAAAAGCCCAGGTGGAAGATGAACTGTTCAGAGTTAAGGTTCAGATGGAGGAGCTACTCAAACTAAAATTGAAAATTGAGGACGAAAACCAGCGGCTAATCAAAAAGGACAAAGATAACACACAAAAGTTCCTTGCTGAGGAGGCTGAGAATATGAAAAAGCTTGCAGAAGATGCTGCTAGGCTCAGTGTTGAGGCCCAAGAGGCTGCTCGCTTAAGACAAATTGCAGAAGATGATCTCAACCAGCAGCGAGCACTGGCGGACAAAATGCTCAAAGAGAAAATGCAAGCCATTCAAGAGGCATCCAAACTCAGAGCTGAGGCTGAGATGCTCCAAAAGCAGAAAGATCTAGCTCAAGAGCAGGCTCAAAAGCTTCTGGAGGATAAACAGCTGATGCAGCAGCGTCTAGAGGAGGAGACAGAGGAGTACCAGCGAACACTTGAAGCGGAAAGAAAAAAGCAAATTGGTATCTTGGCTGAAGCTGAAAAACTAAAACTTCAGGTCTCTCAGCTCAGTGATGCTCAGGCCAAAGCTGAAGAAGAGGCCAAAAAATTCAAGAAACAGGCTGATACCATTGCAGCCCGCCTTCACGAGACTGAAATCGCAACAAAGGAAAAAATGACTACTGTCGAAAAACTGGAATATGAGAGACAAAACACAAGCAAAGAGGCTGATGATTTACGCAAAGCAATCGCAGACCTAGAGAATGAGAAGGCTAGACTGAAAAAAGAGGCTGAGGACCTTCAAAATAAATCAAAAGAGGTATTGTGTCAAAAATGACATAGCAAAGCAGCTTATGTCATTGTCAATACTGTCTAAATACTAACCCATGTCCTTCCTAAAATTGTTTTTCTTTCTTTGATTATACTAATCACAAATCAGTACTTTTCAATTATGTTATGATTTTACTTTTAATATTCTTACAATGCACTGTGCTCATGCAGATCATATCCTGAATGCCTCCTGACGCCCTGGAATGTTTTGCCATTTTAAGACCTGTCTCATTTTCTGTTAATCTCATCTTTGACTTTAAACTCAAATGCTATAAACTAGTTTGGAAAGGCCAGTTTAAAATGACAAAACCGTTTGAGTGAAAGATAAAAAGCAATTCATTGGTTGACAGGGATTCCAAAATCCACAACACCAATAACTTGGCGAATTAAAATTTTTCCCATTTGTCTACCAAAAAGAACATATATCTACGTATCCATGTTCAGCAAAATTAAATAGATTTTTCTGAATCCGTGACTTAAATATCAGCTGAACTTTATGCAAGTTAAGCTGACACCTGAATGATGTTTTTAACTTGTTTGAGTAACTAGATTTGTCCCTCCTACAATAATCATTAGCGACTGTTAACTTGAACAAATTTCTTGACATGCATATAACCTAAAATCCAAGAATCATCTATCAGCCTTTTACCAGAATTATTATTATGACCATTATTTGGATATCCAGCTTGTTTTAAAATGGCCATTTACAAGACAGTCATGGTTCTCACTATTTCAATAACTAAAGATGAGATTTAAAAGAAAAGTTCTCAAAAAAGACATACAAGATTTGTTTTTTAATGATTATTTGTTTGAAGTGTAGCTAAACTCAATGTAGAAACTCCCCACACAAATGTTGATAACTTCCAATAAAGTCAATCATGCTAAGAGACACAGAGGGTCCAACTGTGGGTATTAGCAGATGGGGCTAAATGTGTGTTTGGACAGAAGGAGGACGAGTGATACGAATTTGACGTGACAAATGCCTAAAATAAAACGTTCTGCTGATGTAGGTACTGCGATGCCCACCCGAAAAATGCTATTGATTAATACTCCCAACACATGCATTTAAAAAATCGTGATTAGCTTCAGGGGTTTGTCTCATTTAAAAGGTTTTATGGTGCACTCCATTTGTGCTCAAAGTCAAAATACGACACAGATTTTTTTATCTTTTTTTTTTTTTTTCTTGTACCATCAGCCAAACAGTTGAGAATTAAGCGCCCACAAGTGGGAAACTGGAACACTATCACATCTGAGTTAATGTCAATCTGACTTCTGAGTTCTGAACTAAATATAATGCCCTGTTATACCCAAATGCAAAATGGTAGACAATGGTAGACCAAGCTGAACTAATAGGAAAATGAGCTGTAGCAGCCACATTATATAGAGGTCAGCTCTCATACAGTTTTAAACCAAATATTTCAAAATTAAATAAGATTACACAAAATTCCCAAGGTTTTCTAAGTAACATGAACATACTCTACTGCAAAAAGAGAATTTTGGATTTACCGTAGTTGCTATTTAAAACCTTCAAAAATAATAAGGTATTTTTTTCTAACACATTGCAGTGTGATTAACATTATTACTATTGCTATTCCTTTTAAACAAAATGCAATGCAAAATAAATTGCTAAAGCAAGTTTTTCATAATCGCATCTTTATTCTTAGCTTAATTACAAATATATTACTATAGTTATGAGGTTTGTACAGTCCACTGTAATGCCTCGCTAACATAAAATAGGATAACACTGTTATGGCTTATATTGTCTTTATAAAGCTTCTGCATTTCTGTTGTTTTACTATAATATAAGTAAAAAGTTAAAGTTGTCTTTTGCAGAGGCTTTATTCTATTCATTTTTTAACAAGCTTGAGTAACAGTAATTTTAATTGTTTGGATTCATACTGGATAATTAACATTAACAATAGTTTATAAATAGCTGCCATGGCTGATTAAAAAAACAAAACTTGTATTTGTTCTACCCGCCCACTGAAGCAGGTGAGTCCAATCTGCACAGTGAATTAACCTGTGCAGATTGGACTCACCTGGTTAATGCTTTTAAAGGTACACTATGCAACCGGTGTTGATTTTCCAGCGAGGCTCCCCTCAGAGGGCGAAAGTAAAAGTGCACTGTCGTAAATATGCACAGCTGTTCTCCTGGTTTCTCCGTCAAGCCAGGCGCGGTTGTTTTGAGCTTAGCAGACAGGCGAACGCAACAAATGACTAAGCATCTGACGCGCGTGACGCGCCGCAAACGCGCTGCTGCTCGAGATGGAAAAATTTAATTTTTGCTGCTCGACGCACAGCGTCAACCAATCAGAGAAGCTGATCTGGGAGCTGGCAGGGAGAGAGACACAGCACTGATGATCAGAGCGCTATGATCACTCCTCTTAAACAGTTTATTGACGCCTAAATTAACTTAAAATGCAGAAATCTGCCGGCAGAATATGTTGGCTTTTATTATCCTGCTGCCTGCAGTTTGGATTATTTAGATGAAAAACACCTACAAGCTGCCGCGGTGAACCGCGAGGAGGCGACCCGGCCAGAGGCTGCTGATGAAGGGATTCCTACTGTCGGCACCCCGCTGGTATGTGGGGGTCTGAGCGGCTCCGACAGAAAAAATATTGTAAGGCAGGATGATAATCTGAATGAACTGACTGCACTGATTACGTTTTCAGGTGTATTTTCTCACTTAAAAACATTAAAACTACTTTATTCCCACTGATCACAGCAAATATAGCTGCAAGGCAGAGAAAGGATAGTGAAGCTCCGCCCAACGCGCGTCAGACACACTTTTGCACCGCGCAGCCAGAGCAGCAAAGCTGCTTCAGCCGCGCGTCAGAACTAACTGGTACAAGCAGTAAAAATGAAGCAGCAGACGCCATTTTGCTGCGTCCGGTGTGAAAGCAGCACTGCACAAAGATCGCCACTGTGCTAGCAACGAGCATGCTTTTAAATGGGGGATGTAGCAGTTCTCGCCGTAAAGCAAGACCGACTCTCGCGAGACTTCTGAGCCTGTGGGTGCGGGTCGGTGCTCCTGCAATTGCAAGTGCGGTATTTCCCCCACAGACCACCAGGGCGGCCGAGAATACCTTTGTTCAACCTGAAATTACTCATTTAATCATCCAAAACGTTATGGAACACATTAATTAACTGAAAAATGTTGCATAGTGTGCCTTTAAGTAGAACTTAGATTGTTCATCATTTAAAAGGGATTGTTATTTTAATATGTCTATTAAAATCAAAACTACCAGCCTTCGTTGAACTTTTATAAATGTCTTCATTTTCAGTCACTCCAGGTCAAACTTTAACACCTAACATCTGATATAATAAACTCTTAGAACCTTAGACTGAATCACCCAAGTGGTTGAACTAAGTCCAATATATAATATATTAATCCTTTATGTAATATTTGCACAAATGTATGAAAAACTGATATTCTAATTAGATTGGAAACAAATTGGGTTCAAAAACTTTGCTTCTGGTGTAGAGTTCTTTGTATGTGATTCAACAGGTATTCAAAATAATTCCAAATTATACTTTTTTGTTTTGTTTCATCTATTTGTTCTCATTTGTTGCATCGTTACTCTCTGAGTAGATTGAGACTATATTTTTTATGTATATCTAATTTAAAAATAGAACAAATAAGCACATCTGGGGGGAATATAAGGAAGGAACTATACAAAAGAATGCATCGTGGTTTTTGTGAAATTGTAAAATAACATTTATGGGGTATAACCAATTTACTATGATAAGCCTTTAACTCTTTTATGTCTAATCTTCCACCATACATTCTTCTCAGTCCTGCCATTCAGTGTTAGACTGGGTCAACATTAGTAAAAAAGAAAGTTTGATCTTCTAGTGCACAAGCAGAGTGCATTGTACAGAACCTGGTTATTGCAGATTCACCAAAAAAAAAAAAAAAGTTTGCTTTTTTGACACTAAACATGAATGCAATAACCCTGTTGTAACTAATTTTTTTCTGTTTCTCCATTAGATGGCTGATGCACAGCAAAAACAAATTGAGCATGAGAAGACTATGCTTCAGCAGACATTCTTGACAGAAAAGGAGCTACTTTTGCAGAAGGAGAAGCTTATTGAGGAGGAAAAGAAGAGACTTGAAAGCCAGTTTGAGGAGGAAGTAAGAAAGGCAAAAGCTCTAAAAGATGAGCAAGAACGCCAGAGACAGCTGATGGAAGAGGAGAAGAAGAACCTTTTAGCTACCATGGACGCAGCACTTAGCAAACAGAAAGAGGCAGAGCAAGAGATGATTAACAAGCAAAAAGAAATGCAAGAACTAGAGAGAAAGAGATTAGAACAAGAACGGATTCTTGCCGAAGAAAACCAGAAATTACGTGAAAAATTGCAGCAGCTTGAAGCCCAAAAAGAAACTAATATTAACACTGTTCCAGGCAAAGAGCATGTCCATTTGACAACAGTTGAAATAACAAAGACAATTTATAATGGTCAAGCCATTGACACTGTAGATGGTGTAGAAAAGAAACCAGATCCTTTAGCTTTTGATGGCATCCGTGATAAGGTACCAGCAAGCAGACTCCATGACCTTGGGCTTTTACCCAAGAAGGAGTTTGACAAGCTTAAAGATGGCAAAACCACTGTTCAGGAGCTTAGTAAAACTGAAAATCTCAAACAAATTCTTAGAGGAAAGCAGGCAATTGCTGGTGTTTTAACACCAAATAATCAAAAAATGTCAATTTATCAAGCTTCAAAGGAAAAATTTATTACTCCTGGTACAGCAATGATCCTCCTTGAGGCACAGGCAGCCACAGGTTACATGTTAGATCCCATTAAGAATAAGAAACTTACTGTTAATGAGGCAGTCAAGGAAGGTTTGATTGGCCCTGAACTACATGACAAAATGCTTTCAGCCGAAAGGGCTGTTGTTGGCTACAAAGATCCCTACACTGGTGGAAAGATCTCTGTTTTTGAAGCAATGAAGAAAGATCTGATAGACCGTGACCATGCAATCAGAATCCTTGAAGCCCAGCTTGGCACTGGTGGCATTATTGATCCTGTCAACAGTCATCGTGTTCCCAATGAAATAGCCTATAAACAGGGACAGTACGATGCAGAAATGAATAAGATAATGGCAAAACCATCAGATGATGCAAAGGGATACTTTGACCCCAGTACTCAGGAACCACTGACATATTCTGAGCTTATGGCAAGATGCACTGCTGACCCAGACACCAATCTGTTAATTCTGCCAATCACAGAAAAAGCAGCTCAGTGCTCCAGTATTTACACAGAAGAAGAGACAAAAGATGTTTTCAGCAAAACAACAGTATCTGTACCCTTTGGAAGATTCAAGGGTAAAACCGTCACAATTTGGGAGATAATAAACTCAGAATATTTCACGGAAGATCAGAAGAAGGACCTTCTTCGGCAGTACAAGACAGGCAAAATAACCATTGAAAAAATAATAAAGATTGTTATTACTGTGGCTGAGGAAAAGGAGAAGAAAAAGGAAATTACCTTTGATGGTTTGAGAACACCTGTTCCTGCCAGTGAGCTCCTGGAATCTAAAGTCATTGATAATGATCTTTATAACAAATTGCTAAAGGGTAGTGTGTCAGTTAAGGATGTCTCAGAGTTGAAACCAGTTCACAAAGCACTCCAGGGTACAGACTGCATTGCAGGGGTACTCATTAACTCATCAAAGGAGACAATGTCATTTTATCAAGCTATGAAGAGGGACATCATGAGAGCAGGACTTGCTTTGAAATTGCTTGAAGCCCAAGCAGGATCGGGCTACGTGGTTGACCCTGTGCAAAACCAAAAGTACACTGTTGATGAGGCGGTCAAAGCTGGGGTTGTTGGTCCTGAGCTGCATGAAAAGCTCCTGTCTGCGGAGAGAGCAGTTACTGGTTACAAAGATCCTTACACTGGAAACACTGTTTCTCTCTTCCAAGCAATGAAGAAAGATCTTATTCCAAAAGAGCAAGGTATCAGACTCCTCGATGCCCAAATGACCAGTGGTGGAATCATTGATCCAGTAAACAGCCATCGCATACCTCATGATGTTGCTTGCCAGAGAAATTACTTAGATGATGATATGAAACAGCGTCTACACAGTCCAACTGATGAAACTAAGTGTTTCTTTGATCCAAACACAAAAGAAAATGTCACATACTCACAGTTGTTTGAAAGATGTGTTACTGACAAGAAAACTGGTCTTAAGCTTCTTCCACTTAGTGATGAAGCAATCAATGATAAAGAAGAATCAACATACACTGAGGCCCAGGCAAAAGAGGCTATGACACAGGCAACTCTGGAGCTTGATCATGGACCATTTAAAGGCAGAAAGATGACACTCTGGGAAATAATCAACAGTGACTATTTCACTGAAGAACAGAGATTAGAACTGCTTAGACAGTTTAGAACAGGAAAAGTTACAATTGAAAAGATTATTAAGATCATGATTACCATTGTAGAAGAGAAGGAGGCCATGAAAAAGGAACAATCCAGCTTTAAGGGACTCCGAGATTATGCTCCAGCGGACTCTCTTTATGACTCCAAAATAATTGACAAAACAACCTTTGACCTTCTTCAAAAAGGCAAAACAAAACCTAAGAAAGTCAGTGAGGATCCACAAGTAAGTAAATACCTCCGGGGCACTGAAAGTATTGCTGGAATCTACCTGGACCCAACAAATGAAAAAATTAGTATTTATCAGGCCATGAAGAAAAAACTTCTTAGGCACAACACTGGCCTTTTGCTTCTCGAGGCTCAGGCAGCCACTGGTTTCATGGTAGATCCAGTGAAAAACCAATGTCTTTCAGTAGATGAGGCAGTGAAGGCAGGACTTGTTGGTCCAGAGCTCCATGAAAAACTCCTCTCTGCAGAAAAAGCTGTCACAGGTTACAAAGATCCATTCACAGGAAAGAAAATCTCTCTTTATGAAGCAATGCAAAAAGATCTTATACTCAGAGAACATGCCATCCCCCTGCTGCAAGCACAGATGTTCAGTGGTGGAATCATTGATCCTGTAAACAATCACCGTGTACCAACAGATGCTGCATACCAAAGGCAAATTTTCAGTAAGGAAGTGGCCAAGACCTTGTCTGAATCTTCAGTTGAAAGCAAACCTTTCTCCGATCCAGAAACTGATGAGAATGCAAGTTACAAGCAACTTAAAGACAAATGCAAAAAAGATAAAGACACAGGCCTGTACATCCTTCCCCTCTCCAAACCCCAGTCTCCAACTGTTGTGGAGAAGACATATCTTTATACAGAACAGCAAACTCAGAGTGATCTTACCAGCACCCAGATTGACATTCCAATTGAGGGCCTTGCTGATAAGCCAATGAACCTCTGGGATGTCATGAACTCAAATTTGCTTCCAGAGCAGGAGAGGGAGAAACTCTTGGAAGAATACCGTTCTGGCAAAATCACTAAAGAACGGATGATCATCATTATAATTGAGATAATGGAGCAAAGAGAAGTGATCAGAAATGACAGTGCATTGTCGTATAAGACCATAAGAAGAAGGATAACTATTGAGGAGCTCTACAGTGCCCGCATCATTGATCTGGAGACATACAACCTTCTGAAACAAGGCAAGAGAGATATTTGTGATATAATGGAGATGACCAGTGTAAAACAGTATCTCTATGGCACAGGCTGTGTTGCTGGTGTCACAACAGACTCAAGCTCCAAGATTAGCATATATCAAGCAATGAAAAGAGGTTTTATTAAACCAGAAATAGGCCTCAGTCTCTTGGAGGCACAAGCTGCAACAGGCTTTATTATTGACCCAATAAAGAGTGAAACACTCACTGTTGATGAAGCTGTTCGTAAGGAAGTTGTTGGACCCGAGATCCATGACAAACTGCTTTCAGCTGAAAGAGCTGTCACTGGATACAAGGATCCATACAGTGGGAAGATCATATCTCTTTTCCAGGCCATGAAAAAGGATCTTGTTCCAGAGGATTATGCCCTAAAAATGTTGGAGGCGCAAACTGCTACTGGAGGCATCATTGATCCAGAATTCCAGTTTCATCTTCCAGCTGACATTGCATTGCAAAGAGGTTATATTAACAAGGAAACCAATGAGAAGCTGACAGACAATGTCAAGGGTTTCATCGATCCAGTTACAGATGAACAACTGTCATACGCCCAGCTCCTCAAAAGATGCAAGTTAGAAGGTGGATTGCGCCTACTGTCCTTGGGAGATAAGAGACTAACATTCAAGGGATTGAGAAAACAGATCACAATGGAGGAGCTGATCCGATCACAAATTATTGACCAGCAGACTGTCACTGAATTGAATGAGGGCCTACTTTCAGTGGAGGAAGTTAGCAATAGACTCTCAAGATATCTCGAGGGCACAGGGTGTATTGCTGGTGTGTTCTTGGAGTCAAACAAAGAGCGTCTTTCCATTTACCAGGCCATGAAGAAAAACATGATAAGACCAGGCACTGCATTTGAACTGCTTGAGGCTCAGGCGGCCACAGGATATGTCATTGATCCAATCAAGAACCTGAAACTGACTGTAAATGAGGCTGTAAAGATGGGAATTGTAGGTCCAGAATTCAAAGACAAGCTTCTCTCTGCTGAGCGTGCAGTGACAGGGTATAGAGATCCATATTCAGGCAAGACGATCTCTTTGTTCCAGGCCATGAAAAAGGGACTCATCTTGAAAGATCATGGAATCCGTCTCCTGGAAGCTCAGATTGCCACCGGTGGAATAATTGACCCAGAAGAAAGTCATCGTTTACCCGTTGAAATAGCCTACAAACGTGGATTCTTTGATGAAGAAATGAATGAAATTCTGACTGACCCATCAGATGACACCAAGGGTTTCTTTGATCCTAATACTGAAGAAAATCTTACCTATCTTCAGCTTATGGAAAGGTGTATTACTGATCCTGACACTGGCCTTGTGCTCCTGCTACTGAAAGAAAAGAAGCGGGAAAGAAAGACCTCCTCCAAATCATCTGTCCGTAAACGCAGAATTGTTATTGTAGACCCAGAGACAGGCAAAGAGATGTCTGTATATGAGGCCTACAGGAAAGGGCTCATTGACAACCAAACATACCTGGAGCTCTCTGAACAGGAGTGTGAATGGGAGGAAATCACAATGACCTCCTCTGATGGCACTGTAAAATCCATTATTATTGACAGAAGATCAGGTAGACAGTATGACATTGATGATGCTATTTCACGCGGACTTATTGACCAGAATTCCCTTGATACATATAGAGCTGGGAACCTGTCCATCACAGAGTTTGCAGACATGCTTTCTGGAGGTATGGGAGGCTTCCGTTCACGCTCATCCTCATTTGGTTCTACATCTGGTTCCACTTACTCCACTTCCATGAGCCCCATACCCTCCACAAAACCCCCTGCTGTAATATGGAATGACCCATCAGAAGAGACAGGACCTATAGCAGGAATATTGGACATAGATACACTAGAGAAGGTTTCTATTACTGAAGCTATGCACAGAAATGTATTAGACAACATTACAGGCCAAAGACTGTTGGAGGCCCAAGCCTGCACAGGAGGAATACTTGACCCCACGACTGGGGAGAAACTGACAGTTGCTGAAGCTACAGAGAAAGGCTTGGTTGATAAGGTTATGGTTGATCGCCTCAATCTGGCACAAAAAGCTTTTAATGGATTTGAAGACCCAAGAACTAAAGTAAAAATGTCAGCTTCTCAGGCTCTAAAGAAAGGCTGGTTGTATTATGAAGCTGGTCAGCGTTTCCTTGAGGTTCAATATTTGACAGGTGGACTTATTGAGCCAGATATTCCAGGCCGAGTGTCTCTGGATGAATCCATCAGAAAAGGAACAATCGATGCCCGAACTGCCCAAAAACTAAGAGATGTCAGTGCCTATTCAAAATATCTAACATGCCCAAAAACCAAGCTGAAAATCTCCTTCAAAGATGCCATGGACAAAAGCATGGTTGAAGAAGGCTCTGGTATGAGGCTTCTAGAAGCCTCCTCACAGTCTAGCAAAGGGCTCTACAGTCCCTACAATGCCAGTGGCTCTGGATCTGCATATGGCTCTCGGACTGGCTCAAGAACCGGATCTCGTACAGGCTCTAGGAGAGGCAGCTTTGATGCTGGCACAGGCTTTAACATGAACTTCTCATCCTCCTCCTATACACCCTCATCTAGCTACAGCCGCAGATACTAATGACCTATTGCTGTTCCTGATAACATTTGATTAAGAACCAATAGTACTAATGCACTTTATAGATGCATTTCTAACAGGAAAAATAGTTGCTGTAGCGAAAAAGTAAAAATTATTTATTCAATATTGCATGTCATCAAATTAAGATTGCCTTAACAATGGATTTCTTTTATATATATATATTTGAACTTTACTTCTGTAAACAAGTGCCTCTTTTGTGAGGAATTAACCATGAATCACTATGAATATGGAAAAATCAAATTTATTTAATAACAGTTATTAAGTCAAACTTTTCTAAGACAAATTCCAAAAGAAAGCAATGTTTCTGCTGTTTTTAGGTGACCATATTCTTTATTTTTTTTTTTTTTTTTTTTACAAGTGTTCAATAGATGTGTACTAGTGCTTTCTAAGACTAATATATATTATATACATACCAAAAAAAATACTTTTTTCCACTGCCCATGTTTCTTGAAAGTTTTATAGTTGTTTAGTTCATTTGTTTTGCCTATTTTACAGCTTTATGACTAGTAGTAATGACAAATTGAATGTCAACAGATTTAATGTTTTTATCTACAACATACAGATGCATTTGATACTTTGAAACATTTGTATAGAGTATGTAATGTTTTCATATTATCTGACAATATGTACACTGTACTGCGTAAATGAGAGCACCAAATATACCAGTAAAACACTACAAACTGAACCATTATCGAATGCATCATTGAAAGGGACTATTGTAATCAACTGAAAAGACTGTTGTTAATTTGGTTCCACATTGTCATTACCTCTGGCATTTTATGATCAGTAGGAAAGTAAGCATCTTTATTGTTGTACAAACTGCAATTTCTGGGTTCCTCAAATTGAACATCAGTCAAGTGTTCCTGCCAAATCCCAAGATGATGTCACACTCAGTCCTGCACTCCTTCACCAACCTGCTGCCTGTTTATTTGAATTTTGTAAGTGTTTTTTTTTTCTCTCTTTTATTTATAGATGACATTTTTTTTCTTCTTCTTTTTTTGATTTGTTTTTCTTTATTATTTTAACATATCTCAAAAACTAGAATGAATTTATTTAACTTAAAATCCAATGGGCCATTTAAGTTTTCTATTCACCTGTTCAACTTCTAATACAGTTTTTTCTGTTCATCTGCTTCTGTTTTATAGATTGGTAAATCAATCAGAGTCCAAAATGTCAGAATGGATAATCAGTGGCCGCGAGTGCATTCCTCACCTGCTGTTGATGGATACGTGAGACCACGTCATCCTCACTCAGAAAAACAGGTACTACCCTTAGCTATTTCAAAATACATTGTCTTTCATGCTTGATGTTTGTCCCCCACCCCCCCATCCTACATTGTTTTTGTCCATTTTATTTGCTTTTTCCCTTTGCTTTCTTATCATAGTAATTTTTATTTGCTCCTAGATCTTCATTTAAAAATCCCCTTCCTTCCACCATCACGTGCCACATTTGAGGAAAACTGAGCCTGAGTCACTTTCATCTTGGGATTAACTTTTTCATCAAACACTGTCTAGTCGTGTACACTTGGCAATTATATTATTACTTGAATAATATTAGTGATATTTTTGCTAAACTAGGTTAGAATATTAATACCCCCAATGCACAACTCTGCATCAACAGTTTGTATTTGACATTGGAACACTTCAATGAAATGAAATTACTTTTATTGCCTTTATTGTCCATTGCCTATATTTATGGTAACTTTTATCGTAAATCCAGTTAAGCCAGAGTGTATATGTCAATAATTTCAACTGCATCAATCTATGCTGTCAGATTATTTTGTTTGATGTTTTTACATGGATTTTCAAAGCAACCTGAGAAGGCTTCAGTTTTGTTTTGTTTTTTTGTTTGCTTTTTGTTTGTTTTTTTGCTTTCTCCATACCATGATTTTTGGTTTTACGTCATGTTAAATTGTTTTAATGTTTTTCGTTGTTATGAATGTGCCTAGCATGTTTAACTAACTTTGCTATGACAAGGATTTAAAATTTATGAAAAATGTAAACTTTTTTAACTCACTTAATTTTAGCATCACAAACTGAATTTGATTTTTGGGGCAACTGTTGCTTAAATAAGAATGAGGATTTTTGTTGTATTTTATGATAAGGTTATGCTGTAAATAAATATTCTCTGAACCAAACCTCTTGTCATTTATGTATCAGAACAAAATAATTAGCAGATATACTTTTAGGTTACACTGTAAAAAACCAATACTTGAGGTTAGACATGTCAATGGGTGAACTTTGTTTCCATAAAAAGCAAACACTTATTGTAGGATCTTAACAGTTGTAATCTCCGATAATAATTAGATAACTTTTACAACTGCCATATAAACAGGCATGCACAACCTCAAAAATTATGCTAGTTGGTTTAATGTATCATGGTCCTAGAATTTTTGTCCAGAGTTACAATTCATGAAACAATCAGATCCTCACAGCAACAATAATGATAATGATGATGCCAAATCCTAGGAAACAAGACTTCCAAGAAGAGGAATGCACTATGAATCAATTATTGCTAAAAATAATAATTAACACATACCAAATATAAATTGCAGTCTAAGAAGTATGTAAATTAAATTCTAATGAAACATGTCTAACCTAGTAATTTCATTTGTGTCCGAGCCATGATCAAATTACATACACATTTACCATTCACCTCATAACTTCTAAAATTACCATTAACTATATTCACTATATCCATATGGAAGCAGCCTCATCATAAAACTGTCAGACCCAATGAATGAAAAATAACATTATTTGTACTGTAATGTTGAGCAGTTTTTGCAAAATCATGTTTGGATCTTAAACTAATCCATAGGCCAGATGCTTACTCAGAAAGCTAAACAAGTTTAACTAAAAGATATTATTGTAAGTGTTGACACTGATTATGACTACTTCAGATGGTGCCCAGGGGGTGCTAGCCCCACATCTATCAACAAGTAATGCAAAACAAAAAAATTAATAAAATGAGACTAGTGAACAAACACATTATACTTGCAAACAAAAACATTAGACTAACACAAACTGTGAAGGAAAAACACTGAAAAAGTTCAATGTTGCAATCACAGAAAATAGAGAGCAGCAAAGTGCAAACTAACTATAAAAAAATAAATAATAAATCATATGAAACAAATCCAAAGCAAAAGGCTTCAAGTAGCAAAAACAACTGCAATGTATGAAATGTTACAAACTAGCACAGCATAGTGGAAAATGCTCTTGACCAGGAGGAAACCATCATCAACTCAAATGGGAATATATACTTAGAAAACATAAATGAGATGGTCAGAAGAATAGAAATACATATTAGATTAGACCCCGCTTTGACTGTCATGGCGCAGAAATAAGGGGCGCCATCTTGGGGAGGTCAACCTGCTAGCCTAAGCTGCTGGTTTAAACAGAGCAGATGAAGGATGTCTCAATACTATGCGGCATATTTTGGGCTGAATATACGGACTGTTGTCATCAGAGCTCGAGGGATAACTTTGTGAAGGCATCAGAGCTTTGTAAGTCATTACTGAATAAACAGCAGAGGTGTCAAGTAACAAAGTACAAATGCTTCATTACTGTACTTAAGTACACTTTTTAGGTATCTATACTTTACTCCATTACTTATTTTTCTTTCTACTTCTGACTTCTTCTCATTACATTTTGACACAAGTATCTGTACTTTCTATTCCTTACATTTTAAAACAAACGTTACTCGTTACTCTTGGCTTCGGTTTAATGTTTATAAATATTTATTTCACATCATGTGCGCCATCCAATGCAGATCATTGGCACCATCCACGTCTAGTGAAAACTAATGTAATTGGATGAGTCATAGAACGCAAAAACACTTATTGGTTAACTAAAGGAAACCATGAGAAACAAGCAAGTGTTCTTCAAACTGCACACACAAATTGTCTCTGCCATGCTACAATGTCGGATTCAGAAAAAGATGTTGAAATGTCTGAAAGGTCTGACACAGGCGAGAGCGTATCGGAAGATGGAGACGGAGACCAACAAGACATTCCTCATCCTTGGACTCTCTCAAAGAATTTTTTGAAATAGTGGAAAAAATTTGCTTTTAATTCATATAGTCGCATCTGTCTGTTTTTTTTTTTTTAAAGGTTACTTTATACTTTTATACTTTTTTTTTACTTGAGTAAAGAGTCAAGTTGATACTTCAACTTTGTGAGTGTTTGAGTGTTTTTAAACTGCAGTATCTATACTTCTACTTAAGTAACAAATGTGTGTAGTTTTAACACCTCTGATAAACAGGATATATATACATCGTATCTTACTCTTAACCCCACTAAGAATATTTAAAGGCTCTGACCCATTTGCTGTTTTTTTTTCAGCAAAAGAAAAAAAAAAACTTACCGTGAAGATTAGTTAAATATTCAGCGAGTAAATGTTGATAAAAACCGTTTCTGTTCCTGCTCAACACATTACACTGAGATGAGCTGTCCACCGTCCCAAGAGGGCGCCACCATAGGTGAAAGCGGGCAATGAGGGTTCTACTACTTTTATGTATGTCAATGGTCAGAAGTGGTATGTGTTTAGCTATAGTTATAGCTTTTCTTAACTTGCAGTTGTTTTTGTCCCATGCAGCAATTTCCCCTTGCCTGAGTTGTGTCAGCATTGTTCCTGGCATTGCAGCATTTCTTCATTGCCAAATTTCCCTTTACATTTGTTTTATGTGTTTGTGTATTAGGCTTAGACTTCCTTTATTGTAATTGCACAAAAGCACATAAGATGAACTGTTGTTTTGGTCTATTTTTTGTATTAGTCTATTTCTTGTGTTTACTGGACTTGTCATTGCGATACTTGTATTTTCTTTCCGATTATATATTTGCATTTTGCACTACTTGGCCACCAATGCCACGGTGTGATTGTTAAACAAAATTGTTTTAAAAAAACAATCTTTAATCGTAACTAGAAAATCGATGAAGAAAAAAAATAAGCAATAACATATGGATGATACAAATAAATTGTCTGGTTATAGCTGGTTGTATTAATGAGAAGAGGATTCCTAAAACTTCCACTGAGGAATTTGCAATGCTGGAGATGAAAGAATAAGTATCTTTAACCAGCTTGACATCAGACATCATACATAAATAAAAGTTCTGAGTGTTGAAGCAAAAACAGAAGTAATAAAGCGTTAAAATATTTTCTTTTTTAAATCCATACTATTTATAATGGTGACAGTGATTTAGAAATAATAGGTTTGCCTCTCCTAATTTTGGACATTAGTATTCATGTAATAGCAATATAGTAGAGGCATAATCATTCCCAAGAGTGAAAAATAATGCAAAACCAAAGTATTTTTGCAAGATTTTGTAATATCAAAGAGCAGCTTTTATATATTGTGGTAAATTGTGTCTTTCTACAAGTTAGATGATATATTCTAATCATTTCAAAAAGGAAATTGTACAAAAGACCCGAAGGACGGTCTCTTAAGTTCGACTGCACACAAAAAAAACAGTGGTTAGATTGAACGAAACTGTTGAACAAGGTTTTTCTTAATATAATTTCTTCAGCTTTGCTAATTGGATTGCTGTTAGTCAGTTTAGCATGAAAAACTGCAGATGATCACATGAGGGCAGTGTTATGCTGAGTCAGGCATTCTAAAGGAAGCAACATAAGGTGTGACAGATCTACTTAATCTGACCCTTATTGTACAGCTAACGTGACATGTGCTCACAATTACCTCCATTTCTATTGATAAAATGGTCATAGTTTAAAAAGTATTACTATTTACATTTAAATAACAATATATGTCATAAAGTCACAATTTAGTCCATAAATTTAAGCTCCTTAGGTCATTGAATAAATATTCAGAACTTAAGAAAAGCACCTCTGCCAAGAGTCTTGGATGCAAACATATTCTGGTTTCTTTGCCAACATTAGCCACCCGAGGAGCCTGTCGCCAGAAGCAACGGGGAATTTACCTCACTGAATTCTTCTCTCAGTTCCCTTGACAACTTTGACACGGCTGTTTCCCTTCCAGCATCAGCAGCTAGGGAGGTAAGAGCAACGTATGTGCTCACACTTTGCCATAAACAAACCCCCATACAGTGTTTAACCATGGCAAAACAAAAACTGGCAACACAAACAGTTCGCAATTACATTTACAAGCCAAATCTTTGCGCATATAGATTTTCTACTTGCAAATTCAAAAATAGAAATACAGTTTTTCAATCTTTAAACTGTGTGAGAATTTCGTATTTGTGAATTGATACAGATTTTCGTAAAAAAAAAAAAAAACTAATTTGTAAAAAAACATAATAAATACAATATTTTTCCCAAATTGATTTTTTTATTTACAATCTTTGATAAAAGTAAAAAAAAAATGTTTTGTGCATGTATTTTTACAGATACCATGGAAAATATCCCAGTGTATTTTATTGAGATGTTATGTGATAGAAAAACACAAAGTAAGGTATTTTAGGAACCTGACAGGTAAATCTATCCATCAACCCCGCCTTTGTCCACCAGAGGGTTCATTTTAACACCATATCTCCAGTGGTTCTTTGGGAAGATGAGGGATACTCCCTGGAAAATTAACCTGACCATTACAGGACTATTTACATCTATTATTTAGCCTTGTGATGGTCTACCACTTCTTTTAGAAACTTATCTTACCCTATTAAGATAACAGTCCACCTGTATGTAATTTAATCTCAATATAAACAAAACACCTCAGGAGATAACACAGAGCACCAGTTTACACAAACAAAGTTTACAGAACAACTGTAAACCTTTGAATACATGGCATTGCACCTAAACAGGTGAGATAAAGACAGTGGTGGCTGCTGCTCTCTGAAACAGGGGTCAATGGTGTTAATAAATCCAAACGGCACGTATTGCATTAACGGGTTGAAACACAAAATAGGTTAGTAAAATTGATGAAAATAGCTGTTGTGAAACATTTAAATTTACAAATTCCAGAAACCACAAAAAGAGTTCAACACAAGATGACTGATCTAACTAAACAATCACTTTTTCATCCCGACTCATGAGGATCCTTAAGTATGTCTGCCAATGAGCATCAAGCAGCCCTGCTCCATAGATCCTCGAAGAGGTTCAGCCATACTGGAAGTGATGCATTTTTGGCATTTAAGCAATCAGGACTCTACTTTCTCACAGCTTACCTCAATAGGCCGAGGATCAAACCTCAATAGTGATTTGTCACAGAGAATGACAGGCAGTGACCTGCTGCTCTGGAGCTGAGGGGAGATCGCATGCAGGCTCAACAGCTGAATAATACACAACAAACTGATGAAATTAGGTGCATTTTAGTACATATTCAATGCTGTTTGTCTACATTAAGGTAGTTTGACGATGCATATTTGACCAATAATTTTACGAATATACAGGGGAGGTTTAGCCTAGTATTCTAAACATCCCCTGTATTCAATTATTCAAGAGCAACAAGTTTTTGCTTCTGGCCTTCAGTGGAGCCATTAAGTTGTTTCTGGAGTTTTCCTCCAAAAACCTTGGCCATTTGGATTTCTACACCATTTCTACACTTACCTGAACTAACAGAGTAAGAAAGTGCTAAAGAATAAGTCAAGAGGTCTATGGTGGCTATATGGATGAAATGCTGATGTTTGTAGCTCAGATTAAATATTTTGTCAACAGAAACTTCTTTGCTAACCTGATTCTGTCAAGAATGGCAATACAAAAGAGAAAGGGACGTTGGAAGCCGTTGGAAGCCGTTGGAAGACGTTGACAAATGGTGGGCCTTAACTGGCAAACCAGTGGTTTCAGGACAAACCTCTGCCTCCTGAACCACCATTACTCTATCACTCTAAACAAGCCACAATGAAAAAATAGTGTAAGAATAGGCAGAAATATGTTCTTGAGATGTTTTACACTTGTTGCCATCAACTTCCATATTACTAATAGCAAACAAACAGACGTTTGTTTACAATTATTGCAGTTTACTTCTTTTATCAGTCTATCACATAAAATTCCAATAAAAACAATTTAGGTTTGTAGTTTTGATATGACATAATTACTTCAGGACACTATACCTTCCCATTGTTTGTTTCAGGATGAGGGAATTGCTTTGACTGAGTCATCAGCATCACAGGATCAGAAAACCAGGTATGTTTCATCAGAAAGACTTGTGAGAAGTGAGTTAATGCCTGTTTGACTATCAGCAACTAAGAGGCAGCTTATTGTTTTTTGTAGATTTTAATGCCTATATTTTCCAAAGGCAAACATATAGCTGTAAATACACTGCTAAAACAATAAAGGGAACACTCAAATAACACATCTTAGATCTGAATGAATGAATTATTACTTTGTTCTGCAAAAATGTGCTGACAACAAAATCACACAAATATCATCACTGGAAATCAAATGTATTAACAAATGGAGGCCTTGATATGGAGTCACACACAAAAGTAAAGTGGAAAGCAATACAGACTGATTCAACTTTGATTTAATGTCTTTAAAACAGGTCAACATGAGGCACAGTATTGTGTATGGCCTCCATGTGCCTGTATGACCTCCCTACAATGCCTGCTCCTGTTTGGGTGGCAGGTGGTCTCTTGACAGATCTCCTTCCAGACCTGGACTAAAGCATCCGCCAACTTCTAGTCAGTCTGTGATGCAACGTGACGTTGGTGGATGGGTCAAGACAAGATGTCCCAGATGTGCTCAATAGGATTCAGGTCTAGGGAACAGGCTAGCGAGTGCATAGCTTGAATGCCTTCATCTTGCAGGAACTGCTGAAACACTCAAGCCACATGAGGTCTAGCATTGTCCTGCATTAGGAGGAACCCAGGGCCAACCGTACCAAGATATGGTCTTACTAGGGGTCTGAAGATCTCATCTCAGTACTTAATGGCAGACCTGCTACCTCTGGTGAGATCATGGAGAGCTGTGAAGCCCTCCAAAGAAATGCCACCCCACACCGTTATTGACCCACTGCCAAACCGGCCATACATAAGGATTCTGCAGGCAGCAGATGCTCTCCAAGACTCTGTCATGTGTGTCACATGTGCTCAGTGTAAACTTGCTTTCATTTGTGAAGACAATCCTTGTGTTCACTGGCAAATGCCAAGCTTCCTTCATGGTATTGAGCTTTGGCACACTCATACCATCCTCATCAAATCGCTTTCAATCAGTTTGTGCAGAGACATGCACATTTGTGGCCTGCTGGAGGTCACTTTGCAGGGCTCTGACAGTGCTCCTCCTGTTCCCCCTGGCACAAAGCTGAAGGTAACATTCCTGGTGCTGGGTTGTTGTCCTCCTACAGCCTCCTCCATATCTATTATTACTGTCCTGTTTCCTGGTAGCACCTCCAGCCTCTGGACACTATACTGACAGACACGGCCAACCTTCTTGCTGCAGCTCACATTGATGTGACATCTCGGATGAGCTGCTCTATCTGAGCCACTTGTGTGAGTTGTAGAGTCTTTCTCATGCTACCACGAGTGTGAAAGTACCACCAACATTCAAAAGTGACCAAAACATGAGCCAGAAAGCGAAGGGTAATGAAAAGCTGTCTGTGGTCCTGTACAACCACTGCTTTGAGTGTGTCATGCTTAATTTCAAATAATTTCCACCTGTTGTTTATTCTGTTTCCAAAACAGCATTTGAAATTGATCATCAATTAGTGTTTGTTCCTAACTTGATAGTGTGATTTAATTTATATTCTGTTGTTTACGTGTTCCCTTTATTTTTTGAGCAGTGAACAAACTTAATCCTGCAATTAAACAAGATAACTAAGCTTAAGGTGTACAACCTGAAATCTTAATCACATTGCAACAGTCAGCGTCAAACTAATTTACTTCTGTCTGCAAGTTATTGAAACAGCTCTATGTAACAGGCTACAGCAGCAAAGTTAGTATATATGCCAGAAAATTTAATGGAGTCTAATTTGCATGTTATTTTAAATGTCCAGAATGGTTTCTCTTAAAGAGGTTAAAGGGATAATCTGTAAGATTTACTATAATCTTGAGGTGAAATGGGAGCATTTCACTCAAACAAATAAATAACTATACCCTATCACGTCAGTGCCTCAAACAAGTACTTTACATTGTTTCAGCAGCTGTGGTTGTAACAGTGAACGCGGTAAGCTGATGTGAAGTCTCAACTTGCTGGCATTTAGTGTGACAAAAAGCCAGTGTTTACTGCAGTTTTGAATCTACAGTACTAAAAACATGTAAACCTACAATTCTGTACCAACAAATCTCATTTTTGTTTGTAGGATCTTCTGTTATGCTTTCTATGGTAACAAGTGACACAATCTAATTAAATTGAATGGAAAATTTAGCTTTACGGTAATTGAGGCAGTGCAGTTAACTTGCTCAACAAGAAGAAACATGATAATTCATTGTCCCTTTTAAAACTTCTCCTTCATTAGCTCCTTGCCTGATATTTATCCCTTTTTTAACGTCTATGCTTTCTTTCTCTTTAACAAAATTTTTTAGCTTTTGGGGATGGTGAAACTGTTTCTTGCGCTGTTGCTGCATTGCATGATCCTGCATTTTCCCGTAGTAATGCAGACTTTTGGGTTAGCGTCTCCAGATGATCTTTCAGTGATTGCTTCTCAATCACTGAACTGCCAGTAAGAGGAAACGCATTGTTATTTTGTGCGTTGGTACAGTTTTATCCCTCACCAGTGTCTGTACTTTCAAGATGACTGGCATGGTGCTTTGCAAATGGATCACCAGCCTTATGTATAAACATATATATATATATAACTATTTACTTTTGCAATCGAATTTGTTTATCAGTAGATAAACATAATAATACACCTATACATACATACATATTGATACATATGTAAATGCAGTTATCAATTTTAGGCAGTAAAAAAGATAAATTGTTACAAGATATGCCTTTAAAGGCGGGAACTTTTTTACCTTGCAATCTTAAAACTGAGGCCGTTATCTGGACCAAGAGTGAAACATCTTTAACTGAAAGAGTTGAAGTCCATTTTTTTTCTGTAGCCTCTTTACCACTGGAAATAACACTTTAAACGGGGGTTTGCTTTTCTTTTCTCCCTCATCGCTCCTACTGTGGTCTTACTTCATGTTTATCGGATGTAAACAAAGTTGATTCGGCTTGTTAGATCAGATGCTACTGGCGCGATGTATTGATGTTCGTAAGTTGCGTTTAATTGTGTCAGCATGCCGATCAGACCATAGGCGATTGTTACGCGGGTCGCTTGCTGAGTCTTTGACCCCGGGTAGACACTTGTCAGTGAGCTGTTTCCACTGTCATTCAAAGCTGATTGTTCCCGGGGTTTTTCAGGTCAGTGTGAAAGGGGGATTTTTGAAACCTTCAATGAAGTGATCATGAAATCAGAGAGTGATTAGTAATTTTGCTATATTTAAGCATGAATAGGGCAGTCAAACTCAAAAACAGTAACCAATTTGGACCTCGATTGTCATAAAAAACATGATGATTTATAACCCTTGTTAATGTTTTTTCTCTTCCCTGTCGCAGGAGTGAAGCAGAGGAGTTGAGCCAGTGGCAGTGGGAGTTCAGGGGTCAGATCAGAGCAGTGAGGCAATGGCTCAACAGTATGGAGATGATGCTGCCATCTCTGGACCCCAGGGTCAGTTAGGTTTATGGTGCTTATGTTCTTCTCCCTCTCTTTGTCCTTCAATACACATCCAGATCTCAAAAGCCATGTTTGTAGCTAATGTGTCCATTTCTTCGTTAATCATAATTTTTTATGATTACTTCATAATTTGACCGTTTGTTAGTTTTTCTGTCATTCGTATATTTCTTTGCTCCTTAAATTGACATTTTAAGTCCTGTTTTTTGGAAACGTGTATTTTAAACTTAAATGTTTTATTTCTATTTTGTTCATATTTGTATCTACTGCCACATTATATATCATCTGGTTATCACTAATATTGATATTCTAATGAACCTATCAGCATCTTCTACTAATCATTTGTGTCTCAGAATATTTAAAATGACATTTAACAAGCTATGGGCTATATTTATTTTTATATATATTTTTTTGCGGCACTAGTGGCTAATTTCTACGACAGTAGGCTGAAAGGAAAGGGGGTATGAGACAGGGGGAGAGACATGCGGCAAAGGACCACAGGTGGGAATCAAACCCGGGTAGGCCGTATCCATATTTAAGGCCTCCATACATGGGTCGTGCGGGCTAACCGCTGTTCCACCTGCACGCGCCATGGGCTATATTATTATACATAAATCAGATGAATATCTAGTGGTTTTCATAATCTTGTCCATTTGACGGGTCATATAGCATTTAATGCAACCTTCACATCATTGCCCTTGTTCTGACTAATCATCCAAACACTCACTGCTCCGCAAAAGATTTTTGTTGTCAGTTTTTTTTTCTTGTTTTTTTTCTTACCTTTATGCTATGATCTTATTATTATTAATTCTGTCCTGTCCAGCAATGTGGCAATAAGAATAACTGTCTTGATGCCAAAAAGAACCCAACAGATTTAACTTTTACAAGTGAAGCAGTACAGCTATCACCATAGTTTTCCGCTTGATTTATGCATATAAATAGCTTTATCATAATTATGCAGGGAGTTTTACAGATTATATGGACACTGCAATGTAAGTAGAGCAGGAAAGTAAAAAACAGAAAAAAAAGGAGAAAAGATGAAAGAAAGAGGAGATAAAAGGGAGATAACGATTAAACATCTTCACACTGCTTCATCACCTGCAAAGAGATGTAAAAAGAACAGTACAACCAACGGACATGTTACAAGACATATAATAAAATAACACCTTGATACTATTGCTGAACTATAAGTAGCATTATTTAATCTGACATGTACACTGTGGTAGCTGAAGATAAGAATATATATGTCATATAGCTTAATTGTGTAGATCCACTGGGGAGCAGTTCAAACTAATTATGCATTGGAGTTGATGGATCTGAAAATGGTCATAGCCATTCAATGTTCTTTGTCAGGCTGCATTTAATTAACCTGTGCCAGCTTTAAGCTTACATTATCCTTTCTGTATGTGCTGTAATGGTTTATAACTTCAAAGGGATTGCAAAGTCATATAAAAGGCTTGAAGTATAGTTTTAGCAAAATAAAAAAAAAAGTAAAGCATTTTATATCTTGTGAATTCCATGTTTAAAACGTTCTGTTGATAAAACCTGACATCACTGACAGGATTACAGACACTGTTTCTGACATTTTGATTTTTTCCATACTGCAGTTCTGAATTTACTAAGTCGGGGACAATAAAAAGGATACTTCTATCACAGTTGGAATAAAATGATTCGTGGAAGCTAAGCCATTGACCTTCAGTAAAGCTGGCCTCCATTATAACATTTTTAACTGTCTGCTTAAACAATGGCAAAAAAAAGCAGGGAGGTTTCTGTAACACTCATAAGTGTTCTATGGTGGTCCTCCTCCACTCCTGTAGGGAGACTTCTTTAGACCACAAGGGGGGAAAGGGATTGAGATCAGGCTCCATTGTGCTTGGCCTGGACAACCAAGTTAGAGAAGTGGCTGGCACTGGAGGCCCTCTGCACACATGATCGAGCAAACTGAAAAGAAATCAGACACAGACGAGGGAAAGACTAGAGGATGGAAAAAAGGCAGGATCTTTTCACTAAAAACTGCTCAGATCTCACTTTGGAGGTATTTATTGGCACAAAACCATTCTTCTCACAATTATTTATGACCATTGTTTGCAGAGACATGTCACAGCTGGCTTCAGTGGTGACATTCTTAGTTTGTCTAAATACATTAGTACAATTCTAGCAAGCAGTCATGGTGACAATGATAACATCATATTAGAAGCTATACCAGTATGTCTATTGGAATCTCCTTAAAGAAAAAAGGGTGTTTCAAAATCAATGGTTGCAAAGATTAACTTGGTTAACTAGAATTATTCTGATCTACTACTTACGCTAAGTTTGAGTATTTACCAATAAACCTTGAAATTATTTAGCAAATATATCTTTAAACATTTATTACAAAGATAAATAATTAAATATACAATTACTAAAAAATAACGATTACAATTTAAGTTACCCAAATTATGAAAAATTCATAATTATGTTTAATTAAAAATTGGATTTAAAAAAAAAAACTGAAAACACGTATAATTATTTATATGGAGGGAAATTATTGTTTAATTGTTGTCTTTAGGGCGTCACCAATATCTGAAGCTTTTATTTTGTGAACCTCTTGCCTGTTGTAAAGAACATAACCTTGAACACACCATTTCCTGCACAAAACATGGTGGTGCCAGAATCATACTTTGGGGATTTTAGGTATAAAATAATATAAATTATAATTATTCTGTGTTATCACTTTTTAAATGAATTCTAACCCTTTCAATGTTTTTTTTTCTTGTCACATAAAACTTTAAACAAACTTTGAAATATACTGAATCTGAAGTAAAGTATAATTGTGAACTTGAAGAAATGATTTCAGCTCTATGGTAAAGGTTTGTTTTCTCTTGGCCTAGAGTGGTTTGTAAAAATGTATATCTGATCCTGCTTAGTATCTTTTTGATCTGTCATGCCGTGATAAAAGAGATTTGTAAAAACTGGTTCTAGTTTCCTTTGCGAATTCTGAACAGAAACATATAATTGTATTACTGAGGGAACATTCTGTTACCATTTCGTTTTTTAGTATAATTGGGCTTAAATGGTTAATTATCCAAAGGACATCATTTGAAACTCAATTTCTTTGAGAACAGATAGAGATAGGAACGCATTGGGTGCTACAAAGCAAATATGTCCCTGAGAGTGTTGGTGGGACCCACAGTCAGACTGTGAAATAAGGGGGTGTCTTTTTATATGTACCATGCCTTTATCATGCTGCATCCAACCACAGACCTTTGTCATGGTAATGCCATGAGTCTGCAGCACTGCTGGTTGCAGTCTGAGCCAGAGGGACTCCAATCCACAGACCCTGCTGTAATACACAAGAGAACCACACACCTGCTTCCCAACATGAGCAAAACACTGGTACACCTTCAACTGCTTCTGCCATAACCTGCTGTGATAGACATGAGCTTAGAACTGGAATATGGCAAGAATCAACAGTCCAGACCAACAGATATATACCTTCCTACTTCTCATCTGACACAAGATGACTTATCTGACCAGAATGTATAAAAGTAAAAGTGTCTGAAATCCATTAAGGAAGTAAAATGCTGATGTGTAAACAGTGTAGAAAACAACCAGATGGTACTACACCTCAAATACTACAAATCTAACAGTTCTTAAAACATAAATCATATTAAAACATTGCTATATGTTTTATTAAAATGAATATTGATTTTTCCTAGTAGTAGATTCAGGAAAATCTTGATACGATAAGAACCTACACACCATAGCTTTTTTGAGTAACAGATATAAATTGATTTCTTTCTCACAAATCAAAGAAAAGGGACATCTTAGACAACTGCAAAATGTTACATAATACCCCTACAGTATAGAACATTCTAGGCCTAAACAGTATGTAAGTGATCTACTTACTAAAATAAGTAAATTTGTTTGTTAACATTATTATCTATCTTAAGATAGTTGTTCTGTGAAGCCCTTTGAGATTTGGAAAAGAACATTATTGAACAACTTTTAAAAATGAAATTATACAGCTGGTTCATAATGGATAATATGGGAACGTTTTGCCCAGGCTTAGGTTATAATACACTATCCCATACGTTAAACTTCTCATGGACGCTTTTCAATCCTTCACCTGCTGTTGTCGCGGTATGAAAATAAAAGATTATTGAAAGAAAGTTTAAAGAAATTCCATTCAAAGTTTCCTCAGAAGGCATCACAATAGACACGGGAAGGGAGGTTTGAATTTATTAAGACCTAAATGTAACACTTTGGTCTACACGTGTGCTAGGGAACTAAGCATGCACACCGGATCTCCAGAATAAAATATTGGTGGTAGTATCTTCTTGTGGAAATGTTTTGGGTTGTTGTTTTTTTTTTTTTTTTGTTTTTTTTACAAGGAAATGGAAGCAGAACATTTCACTAAACATACAACCAGGCATCAAATTAAATTATTTAGGACCAAGCATATCCATGTCTTAGAATGATCTAGTCAAAGTTTTTTTTTTTTTTTTACAAAGTTACCTTTCCTTGGAATAACTTGAAATAGGAAGTTATTTTGCTGACCATAAGCTACTTTACATAAAGAGCAGCAGAAAAGCGCACAAAACCGGTAGCAACAAACTTCTTAACGAACGTTCTGAGCCGGAGGGTGAAAACAAAGGCATTCCACACTTTGTTTTGGACAGTTTTGAAATCCATTAACTCATTTCATCTCTACACAAACATGCAATATTTTGTGTTGGTCTTTTTATTGAAATCTATCCTGAATACATTGGGGGCTTTCTTTAAAAAATAAAAATAAAAAATAGTAATCAGAATCCACCCAAAAAATTAAACAATCAAAATTCTCTATTAAGACCCTGTATGGTAGAGCTATAACATCTTACTTCTGATTATGTTGTTGTAAAAGTAACACTTAGAAAGTGAATTTCCTGACAAGATAAGTTCATTCTCTGACTTCCTGCCCTCCCTGCTGATAAGGTTCAATATAAAGACCTTTTGTGCTTTAAGGTGTCTGTATT